TTTTACCTCTGATCTGACCCCACTAGAGTGAACCTCTCAGCTGGAGGTTTTACCTCTGATCTGACCTCACTAGAGTGAACCTCTCAACTGGAGGTTTTACCTCTGATCTGACCCCACTATAATGAACTTCAACTGGAGGTATTACCTCTGATCTGACCTCACTAGAGTGAACCTCTCAACTGGAGGTTTTACATATTCTTTGGTTCTTTCGGTGAGGTCACGTAGATATAAAATATAATCATAAAAAACAAATAAAAACCACGACGTTTCGATCGCAACATAAGCGGTCGTCATCAGGGAAAAGGGGGTTAGCCTATAAAGGCCCTTTATTGGTCAGCTTCCACCAATAAAGGGCGACTGCTAGTGGTGATGGTAGTAGTGGGCAGTGATGGTGCTGGTGGTGGACTTCCACTAATAAATGCTACTGCTAGAGGTGATGGTAGTAGTGGGCAGTGATGGTGCTGGTGGTGGACTTCCACTAATAAAGTGCTACTGCTAGAGGTGATGGTAGTAGTGGGCAGTGATGGTGCTGGTGGTGGACTTCCACTAATAAAGTGCTACTGCTAGAGGTGATGGTAGTAGTGGGCAGTGATGGTGCTGGTGGTGGACTTCCACTAATAAATTGCTACTGCTAGTGGTGATGGTAGTAGTGGGCAGTGATGGTGCTGGTGGTGGACTTCCATTAATAAAGTGCTACTGCTCGAGGTAATGGTAGTAGTGGGCAGTGATGGTGCTGGTGGTGGACTTCCACTAATAAAATGCTACTGCTAGTGGTGATGGTAGTAGTGGGCAGTGATGGTGCTGGTGGTGGACTTCCACTAATAAAATGCTACTGCTAGAGGTGATGGTAGTAGTGGGCAGTGATGGTGCTGGTGGTGGACTTCCACTAATAAAATGCTACTGCTAGAGGTGATGGTAGTAGTGGGCAGTGATGGTGCTGGTGGTGGACTTCCACTAATAAAGTGCTACTGCTAGAGGTGATGGTAGTAGTGGGCAGTGATGGTGCTGGTGGTGGACTTCCACTAATAAATTGCTACTGCTAGTGGTGATGGTAGTAGTGGGCAGTGATGGTGCTGGTGGTGGACTTCCACTAATAAAGTGCTACTGCTCGAGGTAATGGTAGTAGTGGGCAGTGATGGTGCTGGTGGTGGACTTCCACTAATAAAATGCTACTGCTAGTGGTGATGGTAGTAGTGGGCAGTGATGGTGCTGGTGGTGGACTTCCACTAATAAAATGCTACTGCTAGAGGTGATGGTAGTAGTGGGCAGTGATGGTGCTGGTGGTGGACTTCCACTAATAAAGGGCGACTGCTAGTGGTGATGGTAGTAGTGGGCAGTGATGGTGCTGGTGGTGGACTTCCACTAATAAAGTGCTACTGCTAGAGGTGATGGTAGTAGTGGGCAGTGATGGTGCTGGTGGTGGACTTCCACTAATAAATTGCTACTGCTAGTGGTGATGGTAGTAGTGGGCAGTGATGGTGCTGGTGGTGGACTTCCATTAATAAAGTGCTACTGCTCGAGGTAATGGTAGTAGTGGGCAGTGATGGTGCTGGTGGTGGACTTCCACTAATAAAATGCTACTGCTAGTGGTGATGGTAGTAGTGGGCAGTGATGGTGCTGGTGGTGGACTTCCACTAATAAAATGCTACTGCTAGAGGTGATGGTAGTAGTGGGCAGTGATGGTGCTGGTGGTGGACTTCCACTAATAAAGGGCGACTGCTAGTGGTGATGGTAGTAGTGTGCAGTGATGGTGCTGGTGGTGGACTTCCACTAATAAAATGCTACTGCTAGAGGTGATGGTAGTCGTGGGCAGTGATGGTGCTGGTGGTGGACTTCCACTAATAAAATGCTACTGCTAGTGGTGATGGTAGTAGTGGGCAGTGATGGTGCTGGTGGTGGGCTTCCACTAATAAAGTGCTACTGCTAGTGGTGATGGTAGTAGTGGGCAGTGATGGTGCTGGTGGTGGACTTCCACTAATAAAGTGCTACTGCTCGAGGTAATGGTAGTAGTGGGCAGTGATGGTGCTGGTGGTGGACTTCCACTAATAAAATGCTACTGCTAGTGGTGATGGTAGTAGTGGGCAGTGATGGTGCTGGTGGTGGACTTCCACTAATAAAATGCTACTGCTAGAGGTGATGGTAGTAGTGGGCAGTGATGGTGCTGGTGGTGGACTTCCACTAATAAAGGGCGACTGCTAGTGGTGATGGTAGTAGTGGGCAGTGATGGTGCTGGTGGTGGACTTCCACTAATAAAATGCTACTGCTAGAGGTGATGGTAGTCGTGGGCAGTGATGGTGCTGGTGGTGGACTTCCACTAATAAATTGCTACTGCTAGTGGTGATGGTAGTAGTGGGCAGTGATGGTGCTGGTGGTGGACTTCCACTAATAAAGTGCTACTGCTAGAGGTGATGGTAGTAGTGGGCAGTGATGGTGCTGGTGGTGGACTTCCACTAATAAATTGCTACTGCTAGTGGTGATGGTAGTAGTGGGCAGTGATGGTGCTGGTGGTGGACTTCCACTAATAAAGTGCTACTGCTAGAGGTGATGGTAGTAGTGGGCAGTGATGGTGCTGGTGGTGGGCTTCCACTAATAAAGTGCTACTGCTAGTGGTGATGGTAGTAGTGGGGAGTGATGGTGCTGGTGGTGGACTTCCACTAATAAAATGCTACTGCTAGAGGTGATGGTAGTCGTGGGCAGTGATGGTGCTGGTGGTGGACTTCCACTAATAAAGTGCTACTGCTAGTGGTGATGGTAGTAGTGGGCAGTGATGGTGCTGGTGGTGGATTTCCACTAATAAAGTGCTACTGCTCGAGGTAATGGTAGTAGTGGGCAGTGATGGTGCTGGTGGTGGACTTCCACTAATAAATTGCTACTGCTAGTGGTGATGGTAGTAGTGGGCAGTGATGGTGCTGGTGGTGGACTTCCACTAATAAAGTGCTACTGCTAGAGGTGATGGTAGTAGTGGGCAGTGATGGTGCTGGTGGTGGACTTCCACTTATAAATTGCTACTGCTAGTGGTGATGGTAGTAGTGGGCAGTGATGGTGCTGGTGGTGGACTTCCACTAATAAATTGCTACTGCTAGTGGTGATGGTAGTAGTGGGCAGTGATGGTGCTAGTGGTGGGCTTCCACTAATAAAGTGCTACTGCTAGTGGTGATGGTAGTAGTGGGCAGTGATTGTCCTGGTTGTGTGGGCTTCCACCAATTAAACGGCAGCCAGGTCTAAAATGGAAATATTATAGCCAGTTATTACTGAAACTGGTTGATAACTTCCTTCCAGTGATTGCGGAGTTTGTACCCATCTTCTCGGTTGAAATTGTGTCTATGTCTGTATATATGACGACGATTGCTTGCGTTGCGATCAAAACGTCGTGATATTCTTTTTTTCTATCTACGTGGCTTTACCGAAAGACCCCAAAAATAAGAATAGGTTTTACCATTTCTGGCAAATAAACATGAGGTTTTACGATGTTCAAACACCAAATAGAAATCATTTGCAAGGCATCAAGTCTGCATTACCCACACATACTTATGGTGAACATGCAAACAAACACGCTCTGATGAGATATGCTTTGTCTTTGAAACTGATTGGCCTGCTCCAGAGACAACAGCCTTCTTTAAGGCCTCGTCTCAGACCAGAGAACGCCAAAATGCGAACAGCACAAAGACAATGCCACCATTAGGGCATTTATAGCTCGGGGTGAGCAGCAACACAAGGTTTCTCTTTGACGTTTGAACATCTTAACGCCTGTGTTTTTTTTCGTTATTGCCAAGAAAGCCAAAAAAAATACAAAATCTTATTTTTGGTCATGCTTTGTGACACTGGCAAAACAGAAAAAAGTATTTATCTTGATTTGACGCTTTCGTGACTGCAGGAATCCATACTCTTTGGTTCTTTCGGTAAAGTCACGGAGGTAGAAAAATAAAATAATGTATTAGGGGCCGTCCATAAATGACGTCACGCACCTGGGGGGGGGGGGGGTTCAGACATTTGTGACGATGTGTGACGAGGGGGGGGGGGTTGAGAAATGTGACGTCACATCAAAATGTGCAACTTTAAGTAAATATAGACAACACGTTCTACTTAATTAAATCAACTTTTTAATAAATGTTTTCTCCTACAACATCAGAGTGCAGCGCCACATTAAATACGCACTACAATGACAACAGTTTAAAGCGATTTGAAGCTTTTTGATTTAAAGCTTTCGTGACTGCAGGGATTCATCTTCTTGGTTCTTTCGGTAAAGTCACGTAGAAGGGAAATAATAAAATAATAAAAATAAAACATAATAAAATTATGTTTTATTTTTATTATTGTATTACTTCCGAAAGAACCAAGAAGATTTGAAGCATGTTTTATTTTTTGGGGAGAGGGCAGAGCTTTGTGACATCATATTTGAGGGGGGGGGGGGTTCTGACTTTTTGTGACGATGGGGGGGGGGGGGTCAAAAATCGTCCAAAACCGCGTGACGTCATTTATGATCGGCCCCTTATCCTAATTTTAAAATCCTTTATATTAAGTTCGCTTGCTTGCGTGCTTGCGTGCTTGTGTGCTTGCTTGCTTACGACCGTGCAAATCTTTCGGTCGTTTTTTAACCCACTTCCCGTGATCCAATTGAGCTGACATTTTCCACACAGACTCGTTGTGCGAGACAATGAATGTTCGTGAATTTTTTTTCCAAAATTTTACACTGTTTAGGGAAAACAAATTAAATTTTTAATTACCAATTGCTTAATACTGGCAGACAATCATCTGACCCATAGGTGGCAGCCATCTCAAGCCAGAGGACGAGAGGACTCTCGCCGCCACGCATATAAAGGATTTAGAGTGAAAAACTTAGTTTTTACTGGTTATCATTGTTTGCAATCTGAATCCTGTAGTGGGGAGGAGGGCGAGGGGCGGGGCTTCAATACACAGAGGTTTTTTTAGCCTCTACTCTGGCACCGCGCCCCAACCCGCTACCCATGATGCCGCGCGCGATGCCCCCTCCCCTCCCACCCCCCACAGCATCAGCGATGGCGGCCACCGTGGAGAGCGTCTTGGCTCAGGCCGAACGAGACGATGCCGAGCGGCTTCGTCGGATCACGGTGCACAAGGACATCGAGGTGGAGTTCGACCTGGGCAACCTCACGGCGGTGGACAAGAACCCGCTCGACCTGGCCGAGTTGCGGTGAGCGACGGCTCCCCCCCGGTTGTGTGGGGTGTGCGCGTGTGTGGCGAGTTTATAGGTGGTCGGGATGCAGCGAACTCCACGTGGTGGCCACGTGTTTGCAGTCTCCGCTGCTGCTGCTACTTGAGTCGCTCGAGTCGACACGAGTGCAGGGAGGCTACTTACAAAGGGGGTTGTTGCTGATGATGGTGCTGATGATGATGGTAGAATGACCGATGGTCATTAATAATTTGCTGAGTGGCAGGCCAACAGCCGGGAACGCGTTGGAGAGAGAGAGAGATAGTCCCGTCCGCTCAGGAGATGGAGCGATGGAATTGCGTTAGCTCGTCTGGGGATGCTCGCTGGGTAGATTGTGAACATCGCAGATGTGGTGGTGGCGGCGGCTTGGGTACGGCTTCATCTAGCGGTGGTTTGAGACCATGGCTGACGATAGATGGGGCGTCACGGGCACGGATCAGCAGACTGCGGGCTCTTTAAGGACCTACCCTCTCGTGTTCGTGTGCATTGAGGCACTTGCAATATTTCCCGACACCTGAGGTGAATAAGTATAACCCGTAAAAGCAAAGTTTTTCACTCTAAATCCTTTATATGCGTGGCGGCTCGAGTCCTCTCGTCCTCTGGCTTGAGATGGCTGCCACCTATGGGTCAGATGATTGTCAGTATTAAGCAATTGGTAATTAAATATTTAATTTGTTTTCCCTAAACTGTAAAATTTTGGGAAAATTTTTCACGAACATTAATTGTCTCGCACAACGAGTCTGTGTGCAAAATGTCAGCTCGATTGGATCACGGGAAGTGGGTTAAAAAACGACCGAAAGATTTGCACGGTCGTAAGCAAGCAAGCACGCAAGCAAGCGGACTTAATATAAAGGATTTAAAAAGGTTGCCGTGTCTCCCTCGCGCCTTGATCACCCACACGGCACGTGCAGAAGAACGTTGAGTCACATTTCGATTTAAAGCTTTCGTGACTGCAGGGATTCATCTTCTTGGTTCTTTCGGTAAAGTCACGTAGAAGGGAAATAATAAAATAATAAAAATAAAACATAAAATACAATTTTCACGACGTTTCGGCCACAACGGCTACTTGCGTTGTGGCCGAAACGTCGTGAGAATTTTATTATGTTTTATTATTTTATTATTTCCCTTCTACGTGACTTTACCGAAAGAACCAAGAACATTGAGTCACTCCACTGCTGGATGAGGGCCTCCTCACGATGTCCAGGCGCAGCTTTTGGTAAATATGCGTTCAACGTCGTGTAGGGGTGTTTTAATAACACAATCAAATATAAGGGCCATTGCCCGAAACGTCGCCCATTATATATTGTCTTTTTTCAGGGCGCTATCTTTGACGAATTTGATAAGCTTATTTTGTTAATTGTACTTGTGCACCACTCAACGAAACAGCGGAGAACAAATATATTTGGTAAAATAAATTGCATGGTATTTTTTTTTCTTAAAAAAATAAAATAGTTTGCCGTATTCTCTGGATTAGGAGACCATCTGGAAAGTAAGACGCACCCCAAACCTTTTGTGCCCGGTGGCAATAGTTTACACATTTGGTCACACAAACGCCTTCCGGGTTTATAAGATGCACAATCAACTTTTGTTTAAAACTACAGCACAGGGCAAGTCGTCGGTCTTCTAAAAGTAATCCTTAACATCTATAAAGCGCCCTTAATCCGGATGAAGGTGGTGATTGATGGTGGTGGTGCTGGGAGACTGGCTGGTTCCTGGGTCTCTATGTGAATGATGCGCATGTGTGTGTCCGGTGTGAATGGAGAAGCGAGAAGATTCAAATGAGAAGCTTGAGTTCACAATCTCGGTCGGGGTCGACTCAGCCCCAACAACAATAACCGTTACCGTCCCCGTGCGTAAAATGTACCGTCGTCATCACCGGTGTTAATTTTCCATTGAATATTTTCCATGTTGCTGGTAGCCTGGAGAAGGCACGTGACCACAACAGCCACAGCCAAAGCGAGTGGTGTGCCGGGCACGGGCAGATTTGAGCCTGATCATGAATTTCATTGTCACCATCATCGCCACGACCACCCCCATCATCATCACTGCCGTTATCTTCACTATCATTTGTCGCACCTCTTATGAGCACGGTTGGCCTCGTACGGTTCGAAAAAAGTTCAATGGTGCATATACATCGGAAATTATGAAATGACTTCTACGTGACTTTACCGACACAACCAAAAATATGAATCCCTGCAGTCACGAAAGCTTTAAATCAAAATTTGACTGCCACCTGTTGGAAAGGCAAGTAGACAAAAGTTGGGCTCTGGATGGCCCGACTCCTGTTATAAGAAGGGTGGATGTTCCAACCATTGGGATGAAGGTCGCCCACTGTTGAGCTAGCCTGAGGCTGATACACTGTTAGGTGGGCAGGCCTATGCTGTACCTTCATGCAATGGCTGAGACTGCTGTCCCAAAAACTAATCCTAAGACCCGAAACCCCGAAACCAAAACCTGAACATGAAATTCTGACCCCAGCACCTAAACGCTATCCTGAAACCCTAACACCAGCCTCTAAACCTTATTCTGATATCCGAAACCCTAAGCACCGTCTAGGAGGCAGATGCTTATCTTTGTCCCCTTGTGCCTTGCTCGCCTCGGTCATAAATACTGTCATTATCCTTGAAAAATGTGGACGTATAATTGTTAAACTTGAAATTCTATTGCCTCTTCATTTTCTTACAGGAAAGATAGCGCTGGTTACCTGATGGCCCTGGCAAGAGACAACACACAGCTGCTGATTAATGAGATTTGGAAATTGCCGACAGAGCGCGTTGATGACGTCATCATCGCAAAGGTAGGCCATGTGACCTGAATGTGTGTAGCCAGTACGACGCATCTGTGTTTGCGTTCACGCTGGCTTTCGAAAAGTAATTGGCCTCGGTGGACCAAAAATAAATTTCCTTCCATCAGGAAAGTTGAATTTGAATTTCAAGACTGTTTAAGAGAATCCTATAATGGGATTGTTGTGATCATTTATTGCAATGTTTTGAATCTGGGAGGAAAGCGGAGTGCGTAGAGAACTTGAATACAACTCGGGAATAATGGCAGAAGTTCAACACCGATGGGTTCACAAACCCAAGCGCTTGTCACCAACTAGGCCAGCGAGTTTTAGGAGCCGCAGCGACACACCGTGGTACCTGCACGAGCCATTTAAGCCTGCCTCCAACGTGATGCGTTACAACTGTGCCCCCACCACACCTTGCCATAATCGGTGTGTGCATCGTGTATATATATGGCACGAAGTATGAAACGTGCTGTTGTGAAGTCCTTTCGCAATGGAGATTGTCGTGCATATTTATTACAGTTAAAAATGGATGTGGAACTGATGTATAGTTAAACCTTTGCCGTTCCAATGATGTACGTGTACATCAGTTTTTCTTCCGATTTGAAACGGAACCAGAGGAAAACCGTAAATAAAATGACTTCATCAATACCGAGGCTCCCATAAGGCCATGCGGTAGGGCATTGTGGCACAGTTTGGTGCCAGCTAACACAGAGTGCGGTTGTGTCGCTACAGTTCTCTGCGGTGAGTACAATTTCTTTAAAAACAGTGCTATACCTTTCTAAATAAAATTAACACTGAACCGCTTGCACGTTCCGAGATTCAGCGGTTAATGGGACACACACCTTGCAACTTGCAGTAGCCTCGGAATGGGAAAGGGTTAATTGAGGTTGGTCTGCTGTGTAGACGCTCTATTTGGGCTGGTTGTGTTGGACATGTGAGACCATGTGAGAGTAATGAAGTGTCACCAGTGTCTCTCCACTCCCACGCAGCTATCCACCGTCACACAAGCCAGCCAGGATAATGCAAATCATTTATAATTGGAACGCGCAGACTTTTTCTTCTTCTTCAGAGACAGAATTATTCGAACGTGGAGGAAACTACAGAAATGCAGGAAGGCCTCCCAAGCCTGTGCCAACAAATATCTAAGCTCTGTGGCCCTATATTGGTTGTATTTGGCCAAACCCATGAATGAGTGTTTATCCAGTTGATCATCGGTTATCCGGCATGCGATTATCCGGCTTCCAACATTATCCGGCGGTCCCAGGCCGATCTGGCAAAACCGCTCTAAAGGCTGTAACCAGTCCGGCGATCGGCACCGTGTACGTGCTATCCAGCGAAAAGTGCGTGTCAAACAGTCAGGTCGTTGAAGCACCATAGTAGGTACATCACCCCATGGAGAGCCTTCGAGATTGGAGTGTTAAGTACGGTGCAGTAAATCTTTTGGATATTTCATTTTGCCTGTGTTTATACCAATTTCATATCATAAACAATTTTTAAAAACATGTACACAACACCTAATGTTATGCAGGAATGTGCAAAAATAATCTAATTTCAATAATGGTGGTGGAGTGATTATCCGGCGTTATTGAAAATCTGGCTCCATGTTCCCCCCCCGAAGCTGCCGGATAATCGATGATCGACTGTACATTAGAGCGGAAACTTGCACATCTGAAGTAAAGCCATGCATGCAGAGCGGTTCAGTTCAGTTTATCTTTTAGGTATAACCCTGTGAGCCATTCGGCTCTTGACTCGGGTGCAACCGCAACAAACAAAAACAAGAAACATCCTAAAGTGACTACGCGCAACAGAAAAATCCAGGAAAAAACAGCAAAGTCTTCCAGAAAAAGCACCGTATATCAATGCTGTGTGCAAAAATTTCAGTGGGATGCAAGTCAAACAATAACAACCATAACACAATTTAGATTAAAGTTATCAGTCTAACTCTGTACAACAATAAACAAACATGGCTAAACCAAAAAGTTTTCGAAATCGCCAAAATAAAGCTATAAAAACAACGTAACAGTGATCATTGGAACTGTGATTCAAATTTAACAATAAACGATATACATAACATGTACGACCAAACTTTGCAGCCATAACCCTCAGTTCCTACACAGATGGCATCCGCATAAAAAGTTAACCACTGTCTGTAACCACCATACCCGTGACGAGCCAGGAGGTATGGTGACCTTCGACACCCACGGATCACGAGGGAGTTTCAGGGGTTTGTGTGCGATCCACCTACCCTTGCTGCCTCCAGAGTGTTGTATTCCAAGCCACGTGCAGCGTAGCCTCCTGCAGCGTAGCCTCCTGCACGTGTCTTTGTTCATCACGGCTAATTGTTGTCGACGCTCTTCTCTTCCCACCCCTTCCCACTGTCTGCAGCTTCCAAGCCCAACGACGCCTGTGCCCAGGGAGAGGCCGGTGGGTGTGATGTCAATTTCACCATTATTCTCGGCATCATTGTGCCCATCTCCTCTCGTGTTCCGGGACCTCGTCGATCATTGAGGCATCATGTAGATGCCAGTGGCGTTATCTCCATCCTGCGTAGTTCCTAGCAACGGTTTACCATATCTTCCAGATCTTAAGAGGAACTTTTTCTCCCCCGCAAAAGTTTTGGGTTTCGTTTTATAATCTGATACGTGTGTGTGTGTGTGTGATTAGTTGAGGGAGCAGTAGTGTAACGGTTAGTGCACTACGTTACAAACCCTGCGACCCGAGTTTGAGTCCCACCCACGGCCAACACCAGTGACGATTATCTGTACTGGTCCTGGGCCTCCCCTAGGTCGACTCAGCCTCAAATGAGTACCTGATGTGGTGTGTAAACATCACCACTAGGGAGACAAAGGTGGTTGGGCGTGGTGCTGGCCACCCCCACCTCCTTATGTACCGTACAGGGCTTCATAGGTGCTCGCTAACAGCACATTCTGTTAAGGCTATATGTGAGATCTTTGTTAGTTCTGTATAACTTTATTGACACTGGGCACACGTTTGGGGTCCATTTTAATTTCCGGAGCATCTTGTAATCAAGAGAAATACGGTATCGTCAACACTAGCTAAACTTGATCGCTGTGCTATGTGCCCCTTAGATCCCCAAGGCTCGTCCGGCTACGCGCTGGGAAGAGTTCGCCAGCTTGAAGGGAATCAAGAACAGAAAGAAGAGCCGGCGCGTGTGGGATGAGGAGAAGAAGGTACGAGTATTCCTTCAAACGATTATCAATCATTAATTATGTTTGGCCTCAACTATGTAGTCGTTTTATGCCGCTGACAATAACATTTTCATGAAACTACTAGCTACAGTAAAACCTTGGATTGCGTGCATAATTCGTTCCGAAAACGTGTTTGTAATCCAAAGCACTCGTGTATCAGTTGTGATCACGTGACGCTCGGCAGACAAAGCGTATACACGTACTGCTCGTATTGCAAGACCTCGCTCGTTTATCAAATTAATATTTATTTAAAAAATTTGCTCGTCTTGCAAAACACTCACAGACCAAGTTACTCGCAATCCAAGGTTTTACTTTACTGAACTTATAGCAGGTATGGCCCACTGAGCTATACAGATGTTTTTCAGAAGCGACCTTGCAACAAATGATAGCTCAATAAGGTGGCTAATCACGTGGATATTTTAGCAGCCAAATACTCTTGGACGCATGTTTATAAATGTGGAGGGAAAAACCGGAGGACCCGGAGAAAAATCCGCGCCACCACGGGGAGAGAGACACGCAAACTCCAGATATACAGCAGCCATGCAGGGGGATATGGGAGAGAAGCAAGGTATGAAGCAACTTGGGCTCGGTAACGACAACAACAACCAACCGCGAGCCCCAGGGACAACCAGCGCGTGACGAAGGCAGCCCCCAACAGATCTCAGGGCTGCCTCGGCAAGGGTGGTCAGTGTCATGATCGGCTCGGCGTATGCATTGGTAACGTCGTTTAACATCAGGTGTGATGCTGGCCTTAATAGGTCCCGCCGAACAGCACCTGCTTCAGCGGTCTTTTTAAATCCTTTATATTAAGTTCACTTGCTTGCTTACTTGCGCGCTTAGGACCGTGCAAATCTTTCGGTCGTTTGTTAACCCACTTCCCGTGATCCAATCGAGCTGACATTTTGCACACAGACTCGTTGTGTGTGACAATTTATTTTCGTGAAATTTTTTCCCAAAAATTTTCGACTTTTTAGGAAAAAAAAAATTTCATATTTTATGTAAAATACCAATGTGATAAAAATGAAACTCTTACTCAAGAAAAACAGAAATGAATAATAAAATAAAACCGATGCCACGCATATAAAGGATTTATAGTGAAAAACTTTGCTTTTACGGGTTCATATTTTGGTCTAAACTAGCAGGGTGTGGCGGGTGTTCCGTGCTGTGTGTGTGTAGGAGTGGCGGCCACGCTGGGGTTATAAACGCGCCAACGACAACACAAAGGACTGGCTCATCGAGGTGCCGGATCACGTCGGTGAGTGGTCAGCAGCATCTCCTTGCACCCCCCGTGTGCAGGGCCGGCCAATGTTGCCGATCCTGCGAGCCACACTTCTAAGTCTTCGTACGGCCAGGAGCCACAAGACAGGGGCATGGTGGTCACACGGCCGGTCCCTACGCATTGGTTGACTGGGAATGCCCCGGGAATGCTCATTGTTGGCTCCGCTCCCAGGGAATTTTTTGACACATTTACGGAATTCCCTTGGTATGCGCGAGGGATACGTTCCGGAGATGCACGTGAATAGAACATTTTGCGGATAATGATATTGGCCTTCAAAAACCTCTTTTAAATTATTTTCTATAGATAACTTTCTAAATAAACTATTAAATACATGAAAACTATCTCATCACTTTCTTGCATCACATTCTCTCATCACTTTGTCTCATCACTTTGTATCTCATCATATTCTCTCTCTCGATGCAGTCGTGTAGAGTACCAGATGCGGTTCGTGGGTAGCCAAAATCACGGATGGCAAGTTCATGAATAACGAGGATGTACTGTATTGTGCACCCAAAAATATCTGGCACATGGTATGTCAGTCCACACGAGTTCAAGGGCGCTGTGATACAATAAAAGCGGACTGCGACGGAATCACAAATCTTGCTGATATGATATTCTTAGGTTTTTTCGGTAAAGTCACGAAGGTAAAGAATTAAAATTTATAAAAGTAAAATAAGAATAAAATAAAAATCACGACGTTGCGGAGGCAACACAAACTTCCGTCTTCAGGTGGATTTTTATTTTATTCTTATTTTACTTTTATTTCTTTTAATTCTTTACCTACGTGACTTTACCGAAAAAACCCTAAGAATATGAATCCTTGCTGATATTAGCCAATCAAATGAAGGGGGTGTGTCACATGACTTGAACCATGGATTGATTGCCATTGAATCGACACAGCTATTAACCCACAAATTGTGATTGAGTGGAATCGATACTCAATCTCGAAAAATGATCACAATACCATATATGGGCAAATACACGCCCCTTACGGCCAATGCCACGCCCACTTCCGTATATGGGCAAATCTCTGATTGGTGATTTTGTCGGATGTACGATTTTTATTGTATTACAGCGCTCATCTTGACTCTGAGATGCGCGTAAAACGTGTAGGTGAACGTGACAACGGGGCGAGCGAGGGATGCTTGTGTTGGTTGTGAGCTTGTGTGTTTGCCGCGCCTCCTCTCCCAGACCCCAATGAGGATCAGTTCGCGAAGAGAATCACCGCCAAGAAGGAGCGCGTGGCCAAAAACGAGCTGAACCGTCTCCGCAACATCGCCCGCGGGCAAAAGAGGAGTGGTGAGTCGCCTGCTCGCGCGCCGATGACGCCTGTGTGTGGCAGCTTGCCGTCGCAGACGCGTCCGCCTCCCGTGTCGACGCACACGCGTTTCGGGGACGGAGTTGAAACTAAACTATAAAGCTAAACTTTTTTTTATTTTATCAGGAAAGGCCCACAGAACTATATATAGCTCCTTTTCAGCAGCAACCTGGCCACAAATGATAGATCAATGAAAGTGGCTTATCATGTGGATATTTATAGCAGCCAAAAACTCTAAACGAATGTTTCTAAATGTGGAAGGAAAAACCAGAGGACCCGGAGAAAAATCTTTCCGGCCACGGGGAGAACATGGAAACTCCAAATATACAAGCGTCATGGTCAGGGACGAACCTACGACCTTCTCTATTCCAGGGAATGTAGTTTTACGTCTCGCCACCATGGCATAGTTGATGCTAACAAAGACTCCGTTTCGATATTGGAGGTCGCAAAAGGTCACGAATATTGGAAGGAACTGTGAGGAGGATGAGGCATTTTCCCCCCAGTGCCTGGGATGTTAACGGCTCATAAGGAGAGAAAAAAAAATGGATATGCCATTGGCATTACATGTATATGGTGCTGCATGGGTATCGCTGTTCGCATCTGAAAAGTAAAGTAAACACGGATAATTAATTGATACATTTGAGTGAAAAACAATAATTGCCACGTTAAACGCTTGTACGCATGGTAATGTAATTGTCGGGTGGTGGAGGGTGTTAACGACACAAATTTGGTCAGATCCATAACGTGGCCAAACTCAAAAAGCATTACGAATCGGTTACGGACATCTATATCTCATTGCCCCAAAATTGAACTGATTCAATTATGCTCTTCCAGACCAGTGTTTTCCTGTTTGTATAAGCAGGCAAAACTTTGACTGGTTTTGACTATTGACCTCATCAGCAGGGTGCGGCCAAATTTGTTTTATGTTGCTGGGTGTCCTGAGGGTAAAGATGCACCACGTGGTGGTACACCAGCAGTCATTGATCTTGCAGAAAGGATGATCTAGTTCTGAGACATTTCCACCACTGGGTAGGCCGAACAAAAGTCAAGAGCACACTGCCCAGTGCTCCGTGAAGCATTGAGAGTTTACTTTGTAAAATACTTAAAGCACTGTGCGACAAATAATGAAAAGCTTCAAGTTCCTGAACATAAAAAAATAATGCAAGACCGTAAATGTTGCCGAAAGTATTAGTGACGTTCTCTTATTTCACTTGTTGTGGTTTCTTCCCCTGCCCTCTTACTCTGTCCTCTAGTCCCCTAGCGTCTCCCCTTTACGTGTTGATTGCTGATGATGTAAAATGTAAATAATCGTCTGGTGCTTTGTTGCGTTGCAGCACCTGCTGCGGGCGCCACGCCGCCTGAGAAGCCGAGCCGCGACGATGTGAGTTGCTCCTCTTTAACCGCGCACCTCCGATTAGCCACGGTTGCCAACGTTACAGTGCGGAAGAAGTTCAGCATGCATGCATATCTACAACCCAATCTGCACTTCAGTGTTCGTCGCGGGAGGAGAAACTCGCGTCATCTCACACAAGCTCTGCGATGCACGGCCACCCTTTTTAATAAATCAGTTGTCGGTCGGCAGCTCGTTGGCATTGCACCGGCCGGGGGGGAAACGCATTCCTGCCGCTAACAACCAAAACACAGTGACAGTGCGGTGTGGGTTTACACGGCGTGTGAACGTGTGACCGCATTTGCAGGAAATGTCGCGGTGAGAATGGTAACATTTTCGGGTGTTTGGGTCGATCGTTAGACAGCACAAATGTGAGAGGATGGCAACTACTGGGGGAGGCCTTCATCCAGCAGTGGATTGATCGTGGCTGATAATGATGATGAAAGAAGAGAAAACCTTTGTCTCCTTTAAACGACCACATTGCGTACAGTGCTCGACCCATGCTTCTCCCATCCTGCGGTTCCATCGCTGTTGTGTTCAGCTGCGTACAAACAAATGTGTACCGGCCCCTGTGTCGTCGCAGGTTGTGTCTGTTTAGACGAGCCAAGGCCAATAGAGCGAGCGCTGTCATCCATGTTGGTGGATTTCAACGGACTACGCGATCCACCACAACGCTCTGACCAACGATTACCCTGATTTAACCCTGTAGTATACAATAGCCGTAAAGTACTAACGCCATCTATTGGTAGAAGTTAATGTACTGGTTTCTTACGGGATTTTACTTGCCATGAGCCATTTTGAAAGTTGCTTACGCACACGCTTGTCATGATTTGTCCTGAGATCCACGAATCATGTTTTGCCATCCACCCGTGGGTCCACGATCATCGACGTGATCGGCCACCGCTAGTCTAGACACTGGCCACATATGAGAGGCGGCAGTGATTGAGGAGGTGGTGGAGGGGGTGGGGCAGTCAGGAGTGCGGGGGACAAACCACCACCATATTCGCCGAATTAGTAAAACGCAGGCCCGAATTTTCCAGGTGACGTGACGTGTGCCGCTCTTGTGTCTGTGCTTGTCGCTGCAGCTCGGGAAAGCCATCTACGTGGCCAAGAGGGCAACGGCCTCCGTCGGCAAGTTTCAGAACAAACTGGTAAGCCGAATTGCGGTCGTGGATGAACATTGTGAAATGTTCGCGCTAAAACATTTAGATTTTTGTCATGGTCTAACGTGGAGACACGGACCGTTGTCTATTTCATATTGATAATAACTCGCAATCCACCTTAACGGTGCGCGATGTATCTCGTACGTGTATCTGTAATGCACCGACAAGGCCGAGCGGTGTCTGTTGGGGGCTCTTGCCCTTTCACAACAGGAGCCTTTGTTTAACAGGCCACACACTGCCTGATGAGCCTCGGACGGTATAAACCGACGTTTTTGGGTTAGATCGCATTATTTATAAATGTGTCGTAACCCTCCACCACCCGACACGTCCAATCAGCAAAAAAATTGTCATGTTGACAAAAGACAAATAGTTCACTGCTTTAGCCCACCGGTGTGTTGAAGCGTGAAACCACAACATTTACAATTTTTGAGTACGACGTTTCGCTGGTAATTGCATCCAGCATCAGTGAACTATTTGTCTTTTGTCAACGTGACACTTTTTTTGCTGATTGGCCATGTCGGGTGGTGGAGGGTTATGACACATTTATAAATAACGTGATCTAACCCAAAACGTTGATTATGAATAATATTGGTCGCGAAAGCCTACGTGTTAAACTGGTATAAACCGATCAAGAATCTGCCTGTTTAAATAAGTGATGATGTAAATCAATTTGTCCAGGAGTGGGGGGTGGGGGCGGCCGGGGGATGGGGGGGGGCTTAGGCTGATGAGTCTAAGGCAAGGGTCGCCAACCTGCGGCTCTGGAGCTGCATGCGGCTCTTTCAGGACTGCAGTGTGCTCTTGGAATTCGAAAACAATTGGCTCTTCTTGTTAGTTTGGTTGCTGACCCCTGACCTTGGAAGTCCAGTTCACCACGAAAGTCCAGTTTACCATGGGCAGGGGTCGGCATCCTGCGGCACCGGAGCCGCATGCGGCTCTTTGAGGACCACCATCTCGTATTCACTTGCAATGCGGCTCTTGAAATATAGATTTTTTTTTTTACCGAATTCGAAAAAAATGACTTTGTGTTTTGGTTGCAGACCCCTGGTCTAAGGGAAATGCGTGTTTTGCTATTGTGGCCATCCCTAAACACTTTTCATCGCGCGTATGATTATTAAATATACCGGTGTATTTTATGCAGCCGTCCTTGCAAATTGCATCTCTTGGAACGCTGTAGAATTTATGACGCGCGCAAGATTTTAACGGAGGCAGGGGAAACGATAGATAAAGCAGGGGGAAGGAAGCCAGAACCAGCGGCAACAATTTCCAAAGCTCTGTGGTCTTATAATCAGGATGTTTGTGCCATCTTCATGAATGAGTGTGTTCATACGTGTGGGAGGAAACCCACAGCAGTTCATGTCTGTGCTGTGCTGAAATAAGGGCGATGATGACCAAGGCGTTGTTTGACTGATGATGTTTTGTTTCGTTACTTTTCAGCCAAAAGAAAAAGAGGCCCGGAATGTGGGGAAGAAGAGAAAGGTGGGTGCTTGCCCTCTGGTTCCAGTGTCCTCAGGCATTCTCTGTTTATTTACTACTACTACTGCTACTCGTGGCATGAGCTGGCACATTATTAACCCGATCATTGTTGGACACGTGGAGATGTGCTTGCATACATTGGACATGCGTGATAGAGAGCAGCGTAGCTTATCGGATTTTTCCAGGATAAATAGTGGTTCTGATTCGAAGGTGGCTCTGAGCGGTGCATGTATCAGAAGATCCCTGGATTCCATCTTCCGCGAAGCTTATGGGCACCAAACCTAAACCATATCCGCTGCACAAACCACGGCAGCAGATGTGAATACTTGATGAAGGACAAATGGCTAATTAAAACCTCTCCCGTGTGTGACTAGTCACCCAGAAACTAACCATGAAACATTTAACGACTCTATTACTGATTCGCAAATATGAAGGGGCGGCATCATCACAGAACAGCGATGCACTTTGCTACTTCCGACACAATGACCTGGCTCCACCACCTCAATGTAAAATGTTATCGTGGCTCTACATTAACATCAGCAGCCATGCAAATAAGTGCATGTATGCACAATCCCAGATGGCGCGTAGGAAACCGTTGATACTGTGAAGGCTGCGCTTTGCGCACAAATGTGCGCGCCTTGTGGCTTTGTGTGTTCAGCTCGGCAAAAATGGAAATACCTCCAGTGTTAACGGCTCAACATTGGTTGGTCATCCCATGTCAGGTTTCATGATATCTTAAAAATATATATACCTTAAATCTCGCGTTTAAGCAGGCTGATTAAACTGTTGAGCAATTGGACGAAGTCGATAGGAAAAAGTTGTATTAGGTTCCCAAAGGATGCTTTGTACAAGAAGAATAACTTTGTAGATTTGGCATTTGCGGCATTGTAATAGTGCAAGGCTGTCGCGGAGGCAGGCACTGTGTTTCACACTGGACTGGTTTCGCAGTAGGGGCCTATGTTGCTATTGCAACGGTCACTGCATCGCACGCTTTCAGATGCGCTTCTGCGGCCTTCTGGAATGCTCTTCCAATTTTCGGAAGCCACTGGGAGCTACGCACTTTTAAATCATCTCGATTGAAAAATAATTTCTTTACAACCGAGAGGGAAAATGTATCGAACAATGAACGATGGATTACAAATAATCTTCAAGGTTATGGAAGCGACCCAGAGATGGCTTGGTCACACCGTTTAGAAGAGAGGAATAAAATGCAAATGGAAGAGGTCCGTAGACTCGCACAGAATGTCTTGCCCTTCTCAACTGGTTCGGTCTCACTCGGCACAACTTCAGATGCCCTTCTGTGGCCGTCTGGAATGCTCTTCCAATATTAGGAAGTCACTGGAGCTATGCACAATTCAATCTAGATTGAAAACTAATTTCTTTAGAACTTGTTTTTGTGTTGAGTTTGGCCTTCCCCCGCACCTCCAATTAGTACGGTTGACTACGTATGGTACGAAAGAAGTTCAACAAACATTCGTGTAAATACAGTTCAGTAACTCGCAGGTACGTTTGTTTTCTTTGGAAAAATTCATCACGATGTACGTATAACGTGTGTGTGCGTGCGTGTGGTGCAGTTCTCGCCATTGGTTGGAGACCTGTCCAAGGAAAAGGAGCAGCAGCTGAGTCTGCTGAAAGCCATGAACAGCAAGAAGCCCAAGATGGACATCACCAGGGTAGGTCTTGACCATCGCCTAGAGGAAGCTGGGTGGATTATTATGACAACGCTTACCCGGGAAAGCCTCTCGCAGAGTCTCAAGACTCTTCTTCAGGAGGGTACTGCCCATGTTTTCGCAATAGGGGGACGATGGTTGCTGTGTATATTCCAATTGGGTCATTTGTGGCTTCATTTTTTTAATTTGGACCTTGACACCGGCACATGATGGAGGCCCTCTCTTGCGAACAACTTCACGGGGATCATTGGCGTTCACTCTGAAATAGACGGAACCACCGGCAGCGTTAACCAAGCCGGCAGTGGGATTCGAACCTCCGCAGCGAGCGGAGAACGAGCTAGCGCTTGGGCCATTTCGCCATCATGACCCTATGGGACTTAATTTTATCTGATTTTGTCACTTGAGGCCGAGTAGTCTAGGGCCGATGGAAAACTCTGCAAGCAGGCAACACGGTTAATGCTGCGTTTGTGTCAGAACATGGAGCCAGCTCTGTTGCAATCTTGGATTTTAACACTTGGATCAGCTCATTCCAAGATTAAATCGGGTTTCCAAGTGTTTTGATTTGGACGATCTCGTCCTGGTCATCGATGAAATGGCAAAAGTCTGAAATGTGTATGACGCTCGTGGTTTTTGGTTTACTCTGCGTTTGCTGTCGTCTGGCAAAATGTGTTTGTATAGCAAATGATGGATGTGTATGGTGAGCACTTTGCACCAGGCGAGGAGGGGAGGGCTGCTTTGTGATGTGTAATGCCGCCAGGGCTTCTTTGATGTCGCGATCGGTCTCGCTCGCCGCACTGCTGTGATCCTCCGCTGACTGTTGAAACGGTAACGGTGATCTGCTAAAATGAAGCCACTGCAGCTGTGAACTTTAAAATATAGATTGAAAATGAATTTCTTTTGAACTGCTCTTTGTGTTTAGTTTGGTCCTTCCCCCTTCCACCCCCCCCCCTGCACTTCCCATTAGCACGGTTGGCTATGTACAGTGCGAAAGAAGTTCAACATAAGCGCACGTTGAGGCGATGCTCATCTGATTACAGCCCTGAGCCACTGGGGGAAATTCCACTTTCCTATGTCGGGGGTTGTTTTTCCTTGGGACAACCCACTGATGACTTTCCCACAAAAACAATGGTAGATATTTTAATGACCCCAGAGGGGATGATAGGTCGAGTCAACCCCTCGATGAGGAATTAAACACTCCACCTTTCCGATAGCGAGTCGCTGTCTCTTCCGCTGAGTCCACCTAGCCAGGTGTAGACGACCATCGTGATCGGCCGTGTCGCCCCTGAGATGTGGAAATTCCACGATGGCAATGGCTATTCGTGGCACGTTTAATTTTTCAAACATTTAATCTCCTAAAGGACTGCTTACAAAAATAATAACATTCACAGTAATAGTTTATAGTCCTGAAAAGCAATGGGATATTAGCCGTTATATTTCCAGATAAAATGATGGCATGCCAGTTTTATGACGTCAACGTTTTCCGAGAGCATGTGCTTTGTACGCATTGTAGATTGTGAAGTTGTAACGAATATAAAGACTGATGGGTAGGCCTTTGAGGAATGAACAGCAGTTGAATATAAACCTTAAGCAGTATTTGTACTCCAAAGCGCAAAACCCAGATGATAAAAATGCTAAACACAATTAAAATAGTACAGCAATAATCGTCGCATCGTGAACTTTGAAAATTCTGTCGTAAAAACTCGCCCCCACTAAAGAGGACATCGCAATACAGTGTAAGGACCCCACGAGAACCAGGAGAGTTGCTCTTTCAAATGAGGTATGTTTAGAAGTGCTATGAAGAAGAGCCATTGCCCAAAATGTCACCTATTATGTTTATTTTTAAGGCCACAGTGATATTGACGTATTTGTGTCTGTGCACCATTGCCAACGCAGTGGCAGCAGCAGTGTCAACAAACGATTTGTTTAGAAGTTGATTAATCGTCTTCCCCATGCGTGTGGACGCGTTCGCTCAGGCCGTGAACAAGCAAATTCGGGAGGAGCAAAAGGAGGCGGCTCTGGAGAGAATGAAGAAGAGGGGCGGGAGGAGAGGTGGCGGCGGCGGCGGAGGAAGGGGTGCTGGGAAGAGGTCCTGGAGGATCGGGCAGAGGAGGCGGCGGCGGTGGCGGTGGCAGCTCTAAGAAGGGACAGGCTGGGAAAGGGCGGAATTCTTTCTCCGGCAAGATGGGGAGTAAGTTTGGCAGAGGTGGCAAGAGTAGTCGGGGTGGAAAGGGGAGAAAGTGAATAGGGACTTGTGTAAATTTGTGAATACCTTTTCAATAAAAGAAGCCGTTCCTTTTTTTTCTGTTGCGGAGTTGTTTTGTCATTAGCAATCTGTATGCATAATAATTTAAGTGAACTACCGAATGTGTGTGTGTTCATGAAACATTTCAATGCATTTAATGTCTCGCAGACTCCAGCTTGTGTATTGTATTTCGCTGATTCGTTGTACGGTCAAGCAATGTTCTTCATTGCAAGGCCCCATGGGGGCCCCTGGTGGCCTTTAGTGCAGCCCCCCACAATACATGAAGTGAAAACACCCCCATCATCATCGTGCTGTTGTCAACTCCCCCCCCAGTGGTTTCAAACGTGTGGTAGCCCCCCTCTGAAAATTAGTGAAGAACACTGCGATAAAGAGTAATTTCTGATAATCATTTTCTTTCAAGAAGTTGCTTTAATAGTTTTGAATCCAGTGGGCCAACTGTCATTAAGGCATCTGCTAAGGCGCTGCGTTGTGGATGATCGTGTGGAGGCGATTCGACTCGAGTGGAGCGAGCGTGAAGGTGTTGTGGCTGACGGTCGGTTACTTGACAGCCGAGTTGAGCAAAAGAGCGAGCGATCAAACAGAATTTGTACTCGGTTCTTAACTAGTGCAGGGCAGAAACTGTTTCTTCTTCGGGCAGAATATATTTTTTTAAACCTTGCATTAAAATGAGTTTCTAATTATATTAATACGATGTCTGTGCGCACATGTGCGCTTAGGGGAGCCTGTGTTCATCGGGGTTTTTTTCATGCGCGCACCCCAGTTTCAATAGACGTCAACATTTTCCATTGAGAGGCTCCTGAATTTGTACATAGAGGGAAACTTGCTTAAATTGCACGGCAACTCAGCACCTTGGACCGCAGCTCGTCTCTTTCCTCCTGGAGTCGAGCCAAGGGGACACCCAACTCCAAGTGGCGGCTGTCTCGAGCGTAAGGTGTTCCGCAGAACCGGGCTGCAAGCGGGTGTTAGTATGAAAACTAAGAATATGTTTTACCCTTTCTGGCAACAAAATACGTGTTTAAGATGTTCAAGCCCTAAATATTAACCTTTTGCAAGAAATCAAGTCTGCATTAAACACGCGTACTTGTGATGCTCTGAAAAGTGCATTGTCTGTGTCCTGTTCGCCTTTTGGCATTCTCTGGTGAGACTGGACCATAAAGGAGGTACTGTAGTCTCAAAGACGATGCATGCGTCGTGGGTTCCACGTAGTAACACACTTGAAATTTGAGGCAACACGTTTATTACACGGCCCTAACAGGGCTACTACTTAAACGTTAACACATTCCTGCGGAGGGAGCTGGTAGGAACGTTGGGTTGCTCAGTCAATGGCCAGGGTCAACGGCGGCGTGGTGTATTCCGCAAATATGCCCGACTGTGAGGGCGGGCACAAGCCGGCGTGAGTAGGTTAAACGTTGAGTTTTATAAGGGCACCACGGGGTGAACAGCCCCTCCTCACCCAGCCCCACCCCACCCAGCCCCTCCCCTCCACACCCAGCCCCTCCCCACCCAGCCCCACCCCTCCCATTTTGGATGCACGATGGACGGACACAATAATCCCCTGTGGGCTGGTGTAACCAGGAGGTTCCTACCATTACAACGGGTTAACTCGACCCCAGCAGGGTAACTACACAACCGGGTCAGTCAGTAACCCACTGCCTGACCCACGATGCCGCACGTGACGACCGGAGACCGAAGATCAAAGAGACGGAGCCCGGCGGGCTGATTCCAGAAGACAGCTGCGATCGCTCTCGGGACCTCGGCTTTCTGCTGCCGAGCGTGGCCTGACTCCACCCTTGGCCACGCCCCCTTCTGGATCTCACCAGAAGGTTCTCGGCCACTCATCACGTGTCCCTCGAGCCACCCACTGGGCCCCCTCGCTACCCTGTCCCGGTCACGTGCCCTCTCGGGTTCACCCAGACCAGGGGTCGGCAACCAAAATAAAAAGAAGAGCCATTTCTTTCCAATTCGGTACAAAATTCAGTATTTCAAGAGCCGCAATGCATCTGGGTACATACGTACTCATCGTCAAGAAGCAGCCCGTAAAGAGCCGCATGCGGCTCCGGAGCCGTAGGTTGCCGACCCCTGGCCCAGACTGTCACGTCGTTACTTGCCCTCTCTCTGACCGTCACCAAAACCATGACCCCTGGTGCCCGCTTCCATGCCATACCAACTCTGGTGCCAGAGAGAGACTCAAGACGCACAGTTCCAATCTTGTGACAGCAGCTGGCGCTAAGCGCCATAGTGACTCCATTACGTCACTACACGTATTGATTGCAATATGTAACACAAATTTGTTCCCGGGTAGTAAGTGTTATTTTGCAAAAAATGGCTATTATTCCCCACAAACTTACTCATTTCTAAATCGTTTGTAGTCATTTTTGTATTACTTTAGTATAAATACATGTTAATACTGGTAGGAACCCACTGGTTCCACCAGCCCACAGGGGATTATTGTGTCCGTCCGTCGTGCAGGGAGGGGCTGGGTGGGGAGGGAGGGGCTGGGTGAGGAGGGGAGGGGCTGGATGGGGAGGGGCTGCGTGGGGAGGGGCTGGGTGGGGAGGGTGGGGCTGGGTGGGGAGGGGCTGGGTGGGGAGGGGCTTGGTGGGGAGGGGCTGGATGGGGAGGGTGGGGCTGGGTGGGGTTGGGCTGGGTGGGGAGGGGCTGGTCACCCCATGGTGCCCTTATAAAACTCAACGTTTAACCTACTCACGCCGGCTTGTGCCCGCCCTCACAGTCGGGCATATTGTTTGCGGAATACACCACGCCGCCGTTGACCCTGGCCATTGACCGAGCAACGCAACGTTCCTACCAGCTCCCTCCGCAGGAGGAATGTGTAATCTTGTAAAGTTGCACGTTCGGTGCAAGGGTCCGCCGATGCACGCGCTCACTCACGCCACCAGCAGAGGGCGGCAGTGGCACGCGTGCTGTCGTCTGTGCGTGGCCGAGGTGGTGATGCTGTTTTGTTTTGTGAATCTTCAGGGAAGGATTAAGATTTGGTAGGCTCCCTGGGCTACAGGTACTGTGAGCCCCCCAGTAATATTTTCAAAAGGAAAACAAAAGTTTAAGAATAATAAAATGTATGTTTTACAATGCTAACAAATAAAATGCAGCATTCACAAATGAAATAACTTTTCACTTACTCTTTGGTTCTTTCGGTAAAGTCACGTAGATAGTGATCTATTGATTTTCTATCTGCGTGACTTTACCGAAAGAACCAAAGAGTATGGATTCCTGCAGTCACGAAAGCTTCAAATCAAAACGTTTCACTTAATCTCTGGAGGTCCTCCAGCTGCCAGAGGCTCCTGAGCTGCAGACCCTGAAGCCCCCGTGCCTTAATCCGGCCCTGTAAATCTTCAACAATCCGAGGGTTGATTCGTCGGCGAAGGTGAATACTTTTCGCGCAGATCTTTGGTTTACAGCCGCCAAGGTTTGGACAATCCTACCATCAGATTGTCCGCGTTTTTTTTTTTACCTAGGGTAAGTTCTTAAGAGCAAACACAATTCATAATCAACGTTTTTGGGTTAGATCGCGTTATTTATAAATGTGTCGTTACCCTCCACCACCCGACACGGCCAATCAGCAAAAAAGTGTCACGTTGACAAAAGACAAAAAGTTCACTGCTTTAGCCCACCGGTGTGTTGAAGCGTGAAACCACAACATTTAAAAAATTTTGAGTACGACGTTTCGCTGGTAATTGCCAGAATGGCGAATTGCCGATGATGCTGGATGCAATTACCAGCGAAACGTCGTACTCAAAAAATTGTAAATGTTGTGGTTTCACGCTTCAACACACCGGTGGGCTAAAGCAGTGAACCATTTGTCTTTTGTCAACGTGACACTTTTTTGCTGATTGGCCGTGTCGGGTGGTGGAGGGTTACGACACATTTATAAATAACGCGATCTAACCCAAAAACGTTGATTATGAATAATATTGGTCGCGAAAGCCTGCTACGTGTTAAACTGAGCAAACACAACTTTACGCTAAAGTTGTGCTCATTTGGGTGGTGGGAGGGTCATGTTAGGAGAGTTACCGTGTGCCCCCTGTTACAGGCAGACCGAGCTTCATGCGCGAACGCTGTCACATGGCCGAGTGGGAAGCGTGTTGGTGGTCGCTTGTCGCGTTTCGAATCCGGCAGGCCACCCCTGGTTAATACTGCGGCTGTGTTCAGCGACAGAATGCACACCGGCGTATGATTATACATTTGGGCGTGTAAATACCCCGTAACACAGGTCGTTCTTAACCGGGGGTGCGAGATGCCCTTTCTGGGGGGTACGAGACATGGCCAGATTTGTTTAGAAGGTAAATCATCGACAACACAAATTGAGCGCGGGCACGTAAGTAACTACTAATTTGTTTCATCAAACCCGATGTATTTATTAACATACATTTTTTTTTATCGATTGAGAACCAAAGTGGGTGCCTGGCTGAAGTAAAGATACTCTTAGGCTTTTTTCGGTAAAGTCACGTAGGTAAAAATTACAAAAATAAATTAATAGAATTGAAATAAAATAGTAAATCACGACGTTTCGGAGGCAACACAAGTCTCCGTCATCAGGTGGGACCGTCACAGCTAAAATTACTGCATCAAGTGAGGAAAAATTCCAAGAGACCAGCCCTTAAATACAAGTTAAGGGGGGAGGGGCTTATCTGAATGTGGTAACCAGTGAATGGAACGTGGGGGTGGTGAGCGGGGCTACGTCGTCCTGTGAAGTAAAGATGCAGAACCACTGACGTAACACGGTTCGAAAAGAGTTAATGCCCATTGTGTGCCGGCGTCATGGGCCTGAAAGTGAAAACTATACCTGCAAAATGACACCGTTGGTGAAACGCAAGGAACGTTGTCGCTCCACTTACTGCCAAAACTCTGCAGGGCCACCCCTAAAAACGAGTCATCAGACTCGACGTCAGGTACAACAAGCATCGCAGAGAAAAAAAGAAACGTAGAGGATTGAAGCTTTCGTGACCTCAAGGATTCATACTCTTAGTTCTTTCGGTAAAGTCACGTAGGTAAAAAATGAAATTAAAATTAATAAAAAAATAAAACAATAAGATCACGACGTTTCGGAGGCAACACAAGTCTCCGTCATCAGGTGGGACCGTCACAGCCAGATTTTCTGTATCACTTGATACACTTGATACAGCAAATCTGGCTGTGACGGTCCCACCTGATGACGGAGACTTGTGTTGCCTCCGAAACGTCGTGATCTTATTGTTTGATTTTTTATTATTTTTTATTTCATTTTTTACCTACGTGACTTTATCGAAAGAACTAAGAGTATAAACGTCGAGGACACACACACATACACTCACTCGCTAATCCAAAACAAGTTGTGTGTAGCAACAACTCGTGAAATCATGAACATATGAAAAGCCACAACTCTCAACCCGTACGTGTAACGAGTGATCACGGGCAGTGAGTTATCCACTGGTGAGTTCAAACTTGATTTGAAACTTTCGTTACCGCAAGAATGACTCTTTGGTTCTTTAGGTAAAGTCACGTAGAAAGAAAATAAATTAAATAATAGAATACGACGTTTCGATTGCAACACAAGCAATCGTCATCAGGTAGAAAACAAACCTAATAAACTTAGAAATACAATGCAATGCAACACAGAGAGTCGGCTAACACAACAGACAACACCCTACCTGGTTAATTACCGGTACGTTCTTCCAAAGATTGCTAAATTAGAAGTTAAGTGTGAAATTTGACAAACAGAAACACAGAGAGAGAAAACAAAATTAAATCCTCCCCGTAGAAGTGGTTCAAACTTGATTTGAAGCTTCCGTGACTGCAGGAATTACTCTTTGGTTCTTTCGGTAAAGTCACGTATTTGTTTTCGTTTTAACTTGTACGCTTTCACTAAAAGTTGCTCGCTTTTTTTGTTCTCCGAACAGCGAGACAGTTGAGTTGACATCAGATTCGTCCTGTGAGTCCAACCTCTATTTAATTCGCCCTGTAGGTTAGTTTTGTAATTTGTGATATTAATTTGGAGGTAAGCTGAATGTTGAGTTACGTTTTGCAATATGTTTGATTCCTCACGTGAGTCGTTTTATTTTGATTGCTTTACTTCGTTGCGATACTTTTTTTGTCTCCATAATAAAGGGGTTTCTTTCCCTCAATATAAATGTGTCGTTAAACCCGCCACCACCCGACACAGCCAATTATCAATGTTTGTCGCGTAAACCAAACGTGCCTCCAATTCGTCGATTTGATTTTGCCGGTTTTTGGTAATCCAGGCCACCCCTTGCAAAATGTATATATCGTGGTCTATCGATTTCTCGCCTGGTTAGACAAAATAAACTTGGAACATCTTCCTTCATTCTTAACTTGCACTCACCACAGGACGGGTGGACAAAATCCCTGTCGACGATTGTGGTCGTGGCTACGTGCTGTGCTCTCCGAGCTCATTGCCAGAGCCCACAAACCAAAACCAACTCCACACAGACACTACATTTGTCAATAGCGCTGCGTTGACCTTAAAAGGTAAAATATAATCGGGTGACGTTTTGACCAATTGGGGCCTTTCTAGCACACACAAGGCGAGATAGTGGATACGAGTTTGGAGACTGACTTTACACCGCATAAATAAAATAAACAAGCTTTTTAAATTGGCATATGAATAGTTACCTATTAATATCCGTTCAATTATTAACCATCGATTACTCAATAAACGAATTTGTATTAAAGGTTGCTGGCACGTGGTATGAATGGTTGTATTGTGATGAGGTCACAATGTAAACCAGTGGCTCTTCTTCACCTGGGGTACATCACGTACCCCCTGGGGAAGTGAGATGCCCTTTCGGGGGGGGGGGCGGGTGTGCGAGACATGGCCAGATTTTTTAAAAAAGACTATTGAAAACAATACCTTTTTTTGAAAACAATTGAAAACACAAATTAAGCACGGGCATGTAAGTTACAACCACTGTGTTTCATCTCACACCTGTGTATTCGTTAACATTGAACATTTTGAACAAGTCTACGTGACTTTACCGAAATAACCAAGAAGAACATTGAACATCTTATTAACTATTGAGACCACGGGGTGTAAGGCTGCAGTAAAGAGTAAGGGGCCATCCATTCAGTGCGTACGCATGGAGAGTGCTTAACCCAAATGCGTACGCTTGCGTATAGGGGGTCTACTGACAATGTACGCATAGGAAACTTTGGGGGGGGGGGTGAAGCCTCGATAATAATTCGTTACATTGGCCTTCACATGAGCCACAGTTCAGTGTCTTCAGCTGTCAGACAACAAGTCCTGCCGGGAGAAGTGGGACTGTGGGAGAGGCGTCACTCGCGTGCCACCCTGCCCCTGACTGCAGCTCTCACGCAGCTCAGCAGTGAGTGTGACACTGGTCTGGCGGCCTGCCCCACCATGGATGATGATCACACATCCTGCAATCTGGCCTCGCTGCACACTGCCGCTGGCTCAAGATTGTAGCTGCCGCGGTGCTCTGTTCGTGCTGCTGCTGCCCGGATATCAGTACTAACCCTCGTTACAGCAGACCGATGCGTTGACGACATCCCTATAATACGTAACCTGTTCGACTGGGTCCAGTCGGCGTTTGAACCTCGCGACGTTTTAAGGGCACACAACTTCATTCTTTAATGCAGCCGGCGGTGGACGATCTGCTTGCTTCAACACGTTAATATTATTAATCCTTGATCGTTTCTGCGTGGATTAAATATCGGTCGTTCTATAGGATTCGCCGGGGGGGGGGGGGGTTAGGCGTGCGTACAGGGAGGGGAGGAGGGGTCAAGTTTGGACAGATCTCTGCGTACCTACTCAATGGACGGTCCCTACTAGAACCACTGACGTCAACCATCATTGGCACAATCTTCTGGGCTCAAATCCATCATTTCATTCGGCGGTGGGGGGGGTGGGAGTGGGGATGGGGGGTTGGTGGGGGGTGCAGGAGTGGTGGGGGGGATGGGTGGTATTGGTGGGGGGTATTGGTGGGGGGTGGGGGGTGGGGGATTGGTGGGGGGTATCGGTGGGGGGGGAGAGGTTGTGGAGTTGATGGGGGGATTTGGTGGGGGGGTTTTGTTGGGGGGGTGGGGGGGTGGTGGGGGGTTGGTGGTGGGGGGAGGGGACTGACAGGGGGAGGAGTCTCATCGTCTCTCACGCCGATTGGCTGGGAATGACCGCGCCCCTCCTGGATGTGGGAGGAGCCCGCCCCCAATGGACCCACGTGGTGGTGGTGCTGGGGGTTTCAGAGTTGAGCCCAAACATCGGTGGATCTGGAGGGCGATAGCCTGAGACGCAGCTCCTCCCGCACGACCTGTGTGTGTGTGTTGTCTGTGTGTTGTCTGTGTGAGCCACCACCACCATCACCACCATCGCCGCGTCTTCACACCTCAAGAGAACTTGCCAGGGAACGCGTGAGCCTCGCTCGCTTACAAGCGTGCTCGCCACCCACCCCCCACCCCCCCGTTACGCGTGGCCACAGGTGAGAGTTGCCACTTTTCATTTGTGTTGCTGTTGTTTTATGGGGGAGTTTCATTGCCATGCGACTTGTTATGGAGGTAGAGTGCAGTTTTGCTGTGTGTGTGTGTGAATTCTCGTTTTCAGCAGGGTCCTGCAGAGTGTATTTCTTTTAGCAGCACGGGGCAATGAGTGATGTTTAAAGACTACGCATTTGGTTTTTTTTGCGGATAGTTTGGTTTTATTCTCCGAAACGTGGATCATCATCACGCAAGGGGCACGATGGTCCTCTCTTGTGAGTGACGGCTCTGGATCTTGAACGGCTCCCACACACCTTGACAGCAGGTGGCTAATTTGAATTTGCAAGCAGCAGCAGCATTAATCAGGGCGGGCCGCACGGGTCGAACCCGTGACAACTTTTGCAACGGGCGGCGTTAACGCGAACCTGACTATACATTGGTACTCAGATTGTAAATGTTGTGGCTTGGCTCTTCAACGCACCGGTTAGTGCTGTACTAGTGACGAATTGTCCACGTTCTCTTTACGTGACAACCCTTACTAGTTGGCTGTGTCGGGTGGTGGCGGGTTTAACGACACATTTATATATTTACACGATCTAACCCCCCCCCAAAAAAACCTCTATTATGGATCGTTGTGTTTATGGGTATTTGTACTGCACGGCTTTTGTTGTGACTTTATGTCGCTGTGGTTGACGATGCGTGTTCGGTCACCTTTGCAAATGCGACCCCTTCTGTCCGTGGTCTCTGAAATTCTGTCGCTGCTGGGTTCAACGAAACGAACTTGGAACTTGAATTCGAGCTGTTATTCAGTCCACACCCTCCGTTCACTTGAATCTGGGGGGGGCCCTTGGGATGCTTGGGGGTGCCGTCACCTTTTGCTTGGTTCGCTCCCCTCTCTCACCCGGCCACGGCCACATCCCCCTCCCGTGAGTCCACTCAGCCACTCACTCGCTCACTCACTCAAGGTGAGATTTGTCACTTTGGGGGTGCCGTCACCTTTGGCTTGGTTCGCTCCCCTCTCTCACCTTGCCACGGCCACATCCCCCTCCCGTGAGTCCACTCAGCCGCTCGCTCGCTCGCTCACTCACAGGTGAGATTTGTCACTTTGCGGTGTTCGCTGTAGGACTTGCTTTGACTTTAGGCGTGGCGTCCTTGATGGACGGTGGGGATACGAGCGGTGGTTAGCCACCATTTACGGTGACGACGAATATTGGAACTTGTTCTGGACCCCCCCACCCCCTCCCGCAAACCCACCTAGGTCGACTTAGCCTCAAATGAGTACCGTACCTGCTGCGATGTGTATAACATTGATTGGCTCGAGATGGTCGCCAATGTTTGGCTAGCCATCGAACAAAGACGGTCAACTGCATGCGCTTGTTCGGCCGTCTGGAACGCTCTTCTTTCCGATATATTAGGAAGCCACTTGGAGCTATGCGCTTTTAAATAAAGTTTGAAAGCACATTTCTCTTAGAACTGCTTATTGCGTTTAGTTTGTTGTCCTTCCCCGCACCTTCAATTAGCACGGTTGGATACGTACAGTGTGAAAGAAGTTCAACATACTCTTTGGTTCTTTCGGTAAAGTCACGTATAAAGATAAAATAATAAATTAAATAATAGCATACGACGTTTCGATTGCAACACAAGCAATCATCATCAGGTATAAAAGAAATAGCAGCAAAAATCTAACCAGAAAACTATAGACAGACATATAAGCAGACAGATATCACAAAGATACATAGAGAGAGAACACACATCGGCACACAGATAATAGCATATGTCGTATGCTATTATTTAATTTATTCTTTTATCTTCATACGTGACTTTACCGAAAGAACCAAAGAGTAATTCCTGCAGACACGAAAGCTCCAAATTAAGATTAAGTTCAACATATTGTACATACAAACATCAGCACTGGGGAGAGAAAGGCGACCGGGCGTGGTGTTGTCCGCCCTTTCCGCCCTTTATGGGCACTTTCCACAACCCTCTGCTCAATTCTGTACGGGGGATCTTTGTCTTTGTGTGGCAGTTCTTCCTGTGTGCCGTGCACTTTCCGCTGGGATGAATTTTTTGTTCACGGAATAATTTTTCCGTCCCTCCCTCCCGTACTTCACCGCTTGCGATGATAATTATTAAATGATTTATAATAAATTTGAAATAAAGCATCTCCACTACTTTGTCAAAGAAATGGTGGGCGTCCCCAGAGCCAAGTGGTGGCAATTCCACATTCCCTTGAGTGGCCTTCCCATAGAATAACCACTGGAGGGCTTTTTTGTTGTTGTCGTGTTGCTGAAATTGGTAGTCGCTTTATCGACCCCGTCGGGAATGATGGGCAGTGTCGAACGGCAAGTGGGATTTGAATATATTTATTTGTGAATCCACGCTATGCTGTATGCATATGGTCCTCAGCAATCCACATTCTCTGTCAAATAAAAAAGCAGACTATATGCCTCGTGCACATACCTGTCCCTGCACGCAGAAAAAATATTTAACACATCCCATCAGCGTCACAGCCTTCACTCGGAGTGCATACGTTGAGACCGGTTTTGACATTCAGTGCCTCATCAGCAGAGCCACGGCTGCTTGGGCCCGAGTGTGCTCTGAACAAGTAACGATTTGTGCTTTAAATTTCGATTCAAAGCTTTCGTGACTGCAGGGATTCATCTTCTTGGTTCTTTCGGTAAAGTCACGTAGAATGGAAATAATAAAATAATAAAAATATAACATAAGAAAATATTGTTAAATATAACATAAGGAGGCATATAGTCTGCTTTTTACATAATAAAATATTTTATTATGTTATATTTGTATTATTTTATTATTTCCATTCTACGTGACTTTACCGAAAGAACCAAGAAGATCAACTTGTGCTGTGCTCACTAAAATCTCCCGAGTGAATGCAGCACTGCTGTCCTTTTGGGCTCATTATTGTCACATTCGGGCCGCTTGAATGTGTGGGGTTGATCATTCACCGGAGTGATAATTAACCAAGCCACACTACTCCATCGACGTGTGTCGCACGCACAGCGACCTTCAGTCGATCCACTGCTGAATGAGGGCCTGTCGTGAGCCAAGGGGCAGCCCTGGTCTCTCTTCGTCGCTGCCCAGACGGCAGTGCGGACCGCTCTGAGCCGTGTCCCAAACTGCACGGGTTCGTTTGGGTGTGTGTGAACCACTGCACCACTCTCTCCCCACCCCCCTATTAAGTAGATATTACACATTTTGTATAATAATAATATAAAATGCGTCGTATATTAACCAGGGTGTTTTTTTGTTTTTAAAGCTGACACGCGTCGTTTCAAAATGGCACGGTAATCATTGACTTTTATCATCCGTCACTTTTTTGCCACTCAGGGTCGGAGCGGCTCACGAAGTTGACTTTCGTGAAAGGAATTAAACGACACACGTCAGCTGGAGCCCCCGTCGTCGTAGAAAGCCGGACCGCTGCGTTGATTTTCCACACGCGGACGATCCGCTTTCGGTTTGGAAGGCCGCAGCGTGCCGATTTGACGTCGGCGGATTTGTCGAAATCGAAGGAGAAAAGGTTTCAGGAAGAACCGGTCACCGCAGTCCGTCGCGACTCATCTCTGCCCGCGACATTTGTCATTCGGCAAGCGAGGGAAGTCCGCGAGATGCCTGGGCGTTGGCGTGGAGCCGTACGACATGTCCACGGAGAGGACCACCGTTGAGACTTGCGCGCTTCAGATCCGGAGCGTTCGCACCCACGCTGGTGGTGGCAGCCTTGGCTGCACGTGATAACGGAACCGGCGTTCTGTAATCGGCTCGTTGCACGATCGTACACCGCCCTCTCCGCGTGCGTGCGACGGTTTAACTGGGCCGTGGTTGTGCTCTCGAGAGAGGTGCACAGCACGGAGCACCCACAGTGGGACAGGTGGCAGCCCGCTGCAAAACTCGAACACAGACCCAGGCGTCTCGCGTCAGCGTGGCGTCAAGAGGGTCCGTGTATCCGTCACCAGCGGCCGTGCTGATCCTACTTACACCAAGCACCTGCTGGTGCGGCAGAGGTAGCTGCTGTCAGTGAGTGGCCATGTTAACGATAAACCTTAATAATAAAATCATTCGGGGGAGGGGGGGGGGACACTGAATAAAGTTGCTACAATTAGTATCAGGATACGGCTCACCAAACTCCAACACTAGCTGAAGAAATACAGGTCCTACTACGCCAAGTTAAATTGTCAGACTTAATGATTATCTTTAGCTCTCAATTGGCTTTGAACAAACGCGGTCGAATGCGGCGTGACAAACGGATTTAACTGGAGGGGTTCTGAAGCTCTCTGCTGGGTCTGCCGTGCCTTGATAAAAACAAAACGTAAATCATAACAAGAAGCGTATATATATTTATTTCGTAGAATTTTATTTTTCTCATCGAGCCTGCACGAAAGGCCACCGCCGTCGGCTTCATGAACAGCGCCGCCGAGTGGAAGCCGGCGTTGCCACGCTCGCCCGACGAGCGATGAAGAGGCGGAGGTCGCCGCTCAGGATGTCCCTGGCGGCGGCGCACCTAGCCTGGTTCGCGACGGCTCTGCCGCTGCCACTGCTGCTCCTGCTGCTGCCGCTGCTGCTGCCGCCGGTTCGCGTCGCCTGCCAGGACCCGGCAGGCGCCGGCGTGGGCGCCGGGAGGCCCCCAGGGCGGTACGACGCGGCGGCCCTCGGCGGCCTCGGGGTGGCGCGCGCCGAGGACGACGCGCTGGAGCTGTCCTCCGGCGTTGGCGTGCGGCGCTGCGAACCCATCCGTGCGGCGCTCTGCCAGGGCCTGGGCTACAACGCGACGCGCGTGCCCAACCCCCTGGGGCACGAGAGCCAGGCGGACGCGGAGCTCCAGCTGCAGACGTTCACCCCCCTGGTGCAGTACGGCTGCTCCGCGCAGCTCCAGGTGAGCAGCTGGCGGTGGCGGCGGCGGCGGTGGCGGCGGCGCCGTGGTGGTGGTGATGCTGCTGTCGTGGTGCTGCGGTAGTGGCGTGGTGATGGTGCAGTTGTGGTGCTATGTTGGTGCGATAGTTGTGGTGCGGTGGTGCTGCGGTGGTGGTGGTACCGCGTCACGATCATGGTCACGAGTGAAAGTGATTTCCTCCCGAGTCACTGGCGCTTGACTCCTGCTTACAGCCTCGAGCCACTGCTTAAAATGTTACATCCCTACGGCAGGGGCGAGTCTATCCATAGCACGACCGCTGTTGACTTATCCACAAAGTGGAACTAATTTTATTGACCAAGGAGAGATGATGGGCTGAGTCAACGAGAATACGAACTCGTGATTTCAAGTCGCTCGCTCTTCCCACCTTGCCAGCTAGCGACGGCGGTTGGTCGTGGCACCGTCTCGGCTCGAGCCAAAGCCTCGTGAAGCGTGCGGCCTACAGGCCCGGGCCTGGTCTAGGACTTCAAATCTATGATTACAAAATCTCCAATATGCGCCTTGTCAATTCCCCTTGTGTGTTTATATATGAAGGCTTTAACACAAATACACGGCTGGTAATGTTCAACCCTTTACAGCCCGGTAGATGTTTGGTTTTGTTCAGCTGCACGGCTATCGGTCATCTTTGTGTTCATCGCAACCCCCGCCACGTTCATCGTCACTGCGTCTGCATCTGTACTTGGGCTGTTCTCCGCCCTCTGTCCGAGACATGCTGCCAAATGAACGCAACTCACTGTGCTTTGTCTGCGCTCTCTGTACTTGCCTCAAGAGTAGAACTGGGATATTTGGTTCATTTAAGTAAGTAATCGATTACTCCACTAATTGGATACGTCATAATAGAATCCTGCGGTAGGCCACGTAATATTCTGGCTTAATTTATGCCGTAAGACCCTCCAACACCCGACAAAGGGCACAAAACGTCAAATTGTCACGCGGTGTACAGACGTTTAACGCGGGCAATTGTTATTGTCTCACGTCACCGGGAAAAGTTGAAGAACGATCCTCGCAAATCTTAAACGCGAGTACCCGGTGCGGTGCATGTATAAAACATCAGCGTTGGGGAGACGAAGGACGGCCGGGCGTGGCGGTGCCGGCCCACCCGACCGGCCCTCTCTCCGTGCCGCGGCGGCCTTCAATCCGTCGCTACTCGTGCGTCCCCCGAAAACGCTTTCGTCGAAAGGCTAACTCGGCGGACCTCCCTCCCGTCTGTCGCGTGCCGGCAGTTCTTCCTGTGCGCCGTCCACTTCCCGCTGTGCGCCGAGGCCGTGCCGGAGCCGATCGGGCCGTGCGCCGGCATGTGCCGAGCGGTGCGCCGCCGCTGCGAGCCCGTGCTCGTCGACTTCCAGTACGCGTGGCCGCCGGCGCTGGCCTGCGACCGCTTCCCCACGCACAACGAGCCCGAGCACATGTGCATGGAGGGCCCCGCCGAGGAGGAGGACGTGGAGGGGGGGGAGCAGCGGGGCGACGGCGCCGGCAAGGACGGGACCGCGGGGGCCAAGGGGAACGGCGCCGGCAGGGTGAGGTCACGCGACAGTGGTGGCGGTGTTGGTGGTGTTGGTTGTTGTGGTGGCGGTGTTGGGAGTGGTGGTGGTGGCAATGGTGGTGGAGGAGCGGTAGTGTAACGGTTAGCTATGAACCCGGCGACCCGAGTTCGATTCCCGCTCACGGCCAACACCCAGTGACGATTATCTGAAACGGTACTGGGCCTCCCCTAGGTCGACTCGGCGTTAAATGAGTACCTGATGTAGCGGTGTGTAAACATCGCCACTTGGGAGACAAAGGCGGTCGGTCGTGGTGTTAGCCACCCACCCCCTCGTGTGCCGTGCCAGCCTTCATAGGTGCCACTCGCTAACAGCACTTGCCTCAACAGCTTGTTAAGGCTACTCGGGGGATCTTTGTATTTGGTGGTGGTGGGTTCACGTTGTTTGTGTGACGCCATGATTGACGATGGGGCGAACGATTCTTTCCCACGACAATTGTCGCGGATTAGCCGTCATGATCTGAGAATCTTGATTGACAACAGGATACCCAATCATCCCTCCCACGGGGACGATGGGTTTTTGGGTTCTACTCCCCTCTCCCCCTCGTGTTATAAGGCATGAATAAGCGAGGTTTGAGGCGTGGCTGGGAATGGAACTGGGCTCGCCAGGTTCGTCGCGCAGTGCACTAGCCACAGCAAAGCACCGCAGCTCACAAGTGACAGAGCTCATGATTAATGTCAAGTGGCCCACTTCAGACACCGCCAACAGCAGCAGCAGCAGCCAGCGACACTATCATTGAGGGAGTGCCTCAGCTGCTCAGCTCAGTTGCTGAAGAAGCTCCCGGCACGCGTAGCGCAACGCCGGACATCGTGCTGAACAGCGCGCGGCACGACCCGGCACCTCATCGGAGAGAGTGCAGCCACAAAAACCTCCGTCGTGTTTCTCCCTTTCCACATCGTGAACAGATTATTGTTTTATACTCTTAGGTTTTTTCGGTAAAGTCACGTAGGAAAAAATGTAAATTAATAAAAATAAAATAAAATAAAAAAATATTTTTTTATTCATCTCATCGGCCGCACCGGCTTCTGCGAGCGATTGCATCAGCAGCATTCGCTTAAGGACCCGTATCTAACAGAGAGGGTCCTAAATGCCAACAAAGGACCCTTTTTAAGGGCCGGAAACAGGACACACGTCTGCACGTATGTACGTTGAACTTCTTTCGCAACGAATGTAGCCAAGCGTGCTAATCGGTTGGGTACGTACGGTGAGAGGAGCCCTGCCCCCTAAACACACGGCAGTTCACCAGCATTGGCTTTGAGCGAGCCTGACTTGCTGATGGGACAGTGAATGTCAAAACCGGTGCACACTTTGCTCGTATCAAAACCAATTCTGCCGAACAAAAACATTACGCCCAGAAGGCCGTGCGGATGATGGGATGTGTCAAATCAAAAGCGCTTGTATTTGTGTTTGCCGTGGATACATGTACACGTGGATACATGTACACGTGGATACATGTACACAAGCGGGCAGTGAGAGCTGGCGGTAGTGGGAAGCCTCCCCTCTAGGTTGATAATTTACCCAAGTGGCTGCCTTGGTTCAGGTTTTACATTCCCATTTAGAGGTCATGCATTGCACGCTAGTGGTTGTACGTTAATTATTCCAGGTTAGCCGTTAGATATGTGCAGTGTAAGTGAAACACACGAACATGCGCACGGCACAAGGTTTATTATGGAGTCTCCATCAATCCATCCTATCTCACCGATCAGTGGCGTATGAACTTCAGCGGACCCAAATCGACTCCGAATACGATACACGGCGACCTGTTGCTGTATCCGCGTGTCAAACTCGCGCGGTTTCGGGGGTTTCTCGCGCAAAGACGCTGGAACACGCCACTGGCTCACGTTCGGGATCCGTCCCCGAGTCTGAGCCAGTTTTGCAACAGACTCAAAACGGTGTTGCTGTTGTTTCAGAGAGCCTCTTTCGATGTGTGATCAACAATAATTATTTTTAAAAAATTCCGGCAGCCTTCCACTAATGTCTCAAGGCGCCTTGTAAGAATAAGGAAAGGCCAAGAGAGACGGAGAAGCTAAGTAGAATAAAACTGAGTTAAGAAGATGTGGTTTTAAGACGAGACTTAAAAGTATCCACATTATTGGATAAACGATTTTCTAACTGGACTCATAAAAGTGCACAATAACAAATGTTTTATTTATAATTCACCGTAACACCGAGTGTGCCTTGCATGGACGAATATGCCAGTTTTTTTTCATATTTACCAAAAAAATCCAGCAAATCTAAACCCAGGTACCAAATTCCAGACGATCTGAATTCAGATTTTTTTCAGATTCACCCAGAAGTTTGACCTCTGGACTCCGCGTGGGGTCTGGTGACGTCACCGTTGTGAGCACAAAGGGACGCACCGCATCGGTGCAAAATGTGAATCGCGGTTAAAAGCCGAAAAAAAGAAACAACATTGCGTCCTGATTTTTTTTCCTAGACCGCACAGGTGGCAACCCAAGCAGTCACCCGTGATTTAAATCCTCGTAGTGAGTTGAGGGTGTCAGCCAGAGGTCGCAACCGGGTACCCGATACCCGTACCCTACCCAAAACCCGGCTACCCGTACCCGTTTGCGACCCTGGTGTGGCCGGGTACGGGTAGGCCGTCAGTCACTGGTGAGTAACCGTTTGTCACTCATTTCCCAACGTCTTGTCTCCTCTCACAATTCAAGTTCCTAAAATCAACCCACCCGCGCCTGCAACATGGCTTCATCCCAGAGGTCGCAATCAGGTACCCGATACCCGTACCCTACCCGTACCCGGCCGGGCACGGGTAGGGTACGGGTACGGCCGGGTACGGGTACGGGTACCCGTTTGCGACCCTGGTGCGGCCGGGTACGGGTAAGGAATCAAAACCCTTTTGCGACCTCTGGTGTCAGCTCAGTCATCAATGACTGCACAAGAAATTGTGCTTTTAAAACAAAAACTATTCCCATAGATTGTTTGGCTCCTTGCAGCTCTGAGAATGATTGACGTGCGATGATGAAGACTTGTCTGCGCAGAATATCTCCGGGTTAACTTGGCTCATAGTCTCAGCTGTGGCTTGCGGCTTTACTTTGGGGCCATTCTACTCCAGCGCATGGCAGGATAGATTCAGGAGCTAGATGGCAATTTCAAGGTCTGCTAGCTGTGACGAGAGGGGTTCAGGGATATTAAAATACTGGATATGAGGCATTATGAAATATGGTAAACCAGCAAATTATATATGTACAAGTATTTAGTCAGGGTTATTTATATATGACGGACTGTCTGTCAACACGAAGCAAACATCAACATGGAAGTGGATAAATAGGCCCTAAAAATACATCCTCTTGTATACAGTTTAATTAAACTGTGAAGGCTCTCTCATGGGCACAACCACTACAAACTATTATTTAACCTAGGCTGTTCTTTTAAAACAAGTGCGTAAGCGTGTAAATTATTACACAGAGGCAATTCAAACGCACGGAGACGGCCTAAAGCTCACAGGTGTGTGTTTGAAAACATTTTACAATTTGCTATTCTATTCATGCGTACGGCGAGATGCCATTGTCAAGGTCAGCTGCTAGCCACGACGAGAAGGGAGAGAGTTTGCGTAGTTTTGCTGTTCCTCCTTCGTTGCAGGAGGGCAGGCCACGGCGGTTTGCTATACGGTCCGTAGTTTGTGTTACATGGCCACAATCGCATTACTGCGGCTTGTCTTTGATGTATCTCAATGGGTGTCTGTGTGTCTCTGTGTATCTCTACGGGTCTTTATGTATCTCTATTTCAATGTCGAGGTCTGCCAGTCACGATGAGAGGGTTTTAGGAGAGAGTTCATGTAGCTTCGCTGTTCCTCCTTCGTTGCAGGAGTGGCCACAATTGCACAACTGCGGTTTGACTTTCATGTTATATTGTGCACATCGGCTGTTGAATGTTCTGATGCGGTTGATCGTTGTTCCACCAGTGTCTTCGAGGAGGAATGTCAAAGCCAGGATGTGCGATGTTTGGGTCTCGAATTAGGTGTTTATTCGGCACATCAACTTTCTTACGCTCCGTTTGCCGGTGTTCTTCCGGCTCTGGGTGAGAATCTAGAAGTTTGGTCTACAATTAATTATTCTAGTAACTTTTAAAATCATCGATTATTTTAATTTGTGTGGCTACGTTCACAAGGGAGTGAAGTGGTATGCGGTTAGCAGTTCAGCGACCTGGACACTACCAAGGTCAAGAGGTCATCGCGTCCATTCAAAGTGACAATTCACAGACGTTTGTCAATCCTCTGCTGGATTAACATTTCCCCCACACGATGTCGATCGTGGTTGTTGTTTGACCATACTTCACCACGCTGGTCGGCGCAAGTGCCCATCTCTGTCACCCTTCTCCCCCCCCCCCCCCATGGAAAGTGTTCTCCCATCACACGCACACATCTGTGATGTGTTCTTGACTCTTGTGAAGCTCCGATCCCAACGCAACAACTCGCTGAGCCCGTTGCTTGGATAACCCAAGTTGAATGGGTAGGGTTCCACCTCTCGTTCAGACCAGCAATGGGGTGACGATCATCGGCAGAGGTTGTCCCGAGCGAGTGTGGTGTAAATTCCCCGTTCCCATGGTGGAGGCCAGTCTTGCCACAGGGATGACCACTTTACCACGTTGGGTTCAAGTAAGACATGTGTGGTAAGCCCTCCTCCACCCAGCACGGCCAATCATTACGATTGATTTTGGCAGTTGCCACTAATTTGACAACTGCCTGATGATGCTGGTTGCGACTACAAGCGAAGTCGTCCACGTGGTGTGGATCGCTCTTCAACGCAGCACTTGCAGTGGGTGCTGTTGAGGCAGCGTTAAATTGGCCCCGTTTTGTTCGCGTGACAACCTCATTAATTGGGCCGTGTCGGGTAGATGGGGGTTTTACGACACACGTATTACTCACGCCATTTGACGCGAACATCTATTTTGAAGGGTGACCCCACTGCTGCCTTTACTAAAATGAGGTGCTTGTTTTATTGAGTCCAAAGGAACGATGGGCTGAAACCACCGGGACTTGAGCTTGCACCCTTGTGAGTGTGAGTCAGGCGCTGTTGTGTTTAGTACCGGCTGTAGCCCATGCTGGCAGCTCAAGGGGAGCGTATGACAGGGTTAAGACTCGCACCTCTGGAATTTGGTCCCTAGCTGCAACGGCCAGGCCCAGACGCAGAAAAATCTCCGTACCAGAAATCGCACAGGTCCCAGTCTGTACTCGCGCACGATGTCAGCGGCAGTGTGTTCAGGAGCTACGTGCCAATGTCGACGTCTGCTGGCCATGACTTGATACAGCAATTTTGCTGTGACGGTTTCACCTGACGACGGAAGCTTGTGTTGCCTCCGAAACGTCGTGATTTAATTTATTAGTTTTCTTTTTAAACCTACGTGACTTTACCGAAAAAACCAAAGAGTTTGATGAGAGGGCTTCAGGAGAAACAAGAGTTGAAGGGGAGGTGGCCATCTTCTCAAAGCCCACCCGTGTTGTCGTGCTACCTTAAACACAACTAATACTGTACCATCATCTAGGCGCCATCGGTGGCGAGATGTTAACCCCCTCGCTTGGTATGCAGGAGATCGTGCATTCGATCCCGACCCTGATGCCTGCTGTGTCTCTCTGCCCGTGGTCACGTAGATTTTTCTCCGGTTTTTCCCTCTACATTTAGAATCAACACCCGTTTAGACTATTTGGCTGCTTTATATTTCCACACCACTTCATTGAGTTATCATTTGTGATAGCAAGGTGGCTTCTGAAAAGAGCTAGATAGCTCAGTGGGCCTTACCTGGTAAAATAAAATAAAAAATAGTCGAGTTGAGTAAATGGAGGTCGTTTAAAAACAAAAGGCCCTTTTGAAGGGCCGAAAACAGGGCCGTGTCTAGCAGAGCGTCAGTCCTCATCTACGAAGGTTTGGCAGGTCACCAGTGTCTGGTCCGAACGAGCCCGCCTCTGCTGAATGAGACGCAGAGTGTCAAAACCCATTCCAGACTCCTTGCTCATGTTCAAGCAAAGCTGCTGAACTGTATGCAGTCCCGGAAGGCTTCGCCGGCTGATGGAATGTGTAAACACGTTGATTTTTACGCTGAGGGATAGGTATGTGAAGGGGCCGTTATCTTCCTCTGAGTTACGTTGTTACTTTTTTTTCTCCAGAGACATGCTATATACACCAGGCTCAGGCTAATTTGAATAAAAATACAGTAAAATTGAGGTGGTTAAAATATATATTTTTTTGTTATCTAAATTTCACTGCAAAATGTTAATTATTATTTATCCGTGTATCTTTGATACACACAAATGGCACAATTTCCCCCCCCCCCCCCCATAGTGAAAATGGACAACAAGATCACAGATAACAAGTTGACAAATAACAGGTTGACAGATAACAGGATTACGGATAAGAAGATGACAGATAAGATGACGGATAACAGGATTACGAATCAATGCTGGTGCGGTGACAAATATCTATATTCAAGGGGACGCTCTCCTTACGCTCTGATGTAGTCAACCTCTGGTGACCCCTGCCTCTCCCTCTGGTGACCCCTGCCTCTCCCTCTGGTGACCCCTGCCTCTCCCTCTGGTGACCCCTGGCCCTCTTTCTGGTGACCCCTGCCTCTCCCTCTGGTGACCCCTGCCTTTCCCTCTGGTGACCCCTGCCTCTCCCTCTGGTGACCCCTGCCTCTCTCTCTGGTGACCCCTGGCCCTCTCTCTGGTGACCCCTGCCTTTCTGGTGACCCCTGCCTCTCCCTCTGGTGACCTCTGGCATTCTCTCTGGTCCTCTCCCTCTGGTGACCCCTGGCCCTCTCTCTGGTGACCCCTGGCTCTCCCTCTGGTGACCCCTGCCTCTCTGGTGACCCCTGCCTCTCCCTATGGTGACTTCTGCCTCTCCCTCTGGTGACCCCTGGCCCTCCCTCTGGTGACCCTGGCCCTCCCTCTGGTGACCCCTCCCTCTCCCTCTGGTGACCCCTGGCCCTCTCTCTGGTGACCCCTGCCTCTCCCTCTGGTGACCCCTGGCCCTCTCTCTGGTGACCCCTGGCCCTCTCTCTGGTGACCCCTGCCTTTCTGGTGACCCCTGCCTCTCCCTCTGGTGACCTCTGGCACTCTCTCTGGTGACCCCTGGCCCTCCCTCTGGTGACCCCTGGCCCTCCCTCTGGTGACCCCTTCCCTCTCCTTTGATGACCCCTGGCTCTCTCTCTCTCTGGTGACCCCTGCCTCTCCCTCTGGTGACCTCTGCCTCCCCCTCTGGTGACCTCTGCCTCTCCCTCTGGTGACCCCTGCCTCTCCCTCTGATGACCCCTGGCCCTCCCTCTGGTGACCGCTGCCTCTCCCTCTGGTGACCCCTGGCCCTCCCTCTGGTGACCCCTGCCTCTCCCTCTGGTGACCCCTGGCCCTCCCTCTGGTGACCCCTGCCTCTCCCTCTGGTGACCCCTGCCTCTCCCTCTGGTGACCCCTGGCCCTCCTTCTGGTGACCCCTGCCTCTCCCTCTGGTGACCTCTGCCTCTCTGGTGACCCCTGGCCCTCCCTCTGGTGACCCCTGCCTCTCTCTGGTGACCCCCCCCCCCCCCCACCCGGCTCCTCCCCCTGCAGTCGCCCGGCGGCCTGGACTCGGACTCAAGCTGCCACTCGGCTGGGGGCCTGCTGCACCCCGACCGCTTCGTGTTCGTGCAGCGCCTGGGCGCGTGCGTCCCCCGCTGCGCTCCGGCCACGCCGGGTCCCCGCGCCGCCTTCCTCGAAGCGTGGATGGGCGCGTGGGCCGCGGCGGCGCTGCTCGCGTCCGTCGCGGTTGCCGCCACCTTCCTCATGGAGCCGGCGCGCTTCCCCTACCCGGAGCGGCCCGTGGGCTTCTTCGCGGCGAGCCACGCGGTGCACGCGGCGGCCTACGTGGCGAGGCTCGCGCTCGGCCACGAGCGGGTGGCGTGCGACGCCGCGGTGAGCCACGGTTCCCACCCCCCCCACCTCCCGCCGTACCGTGCACCGGCTCATCGGCGGTTTAACCCAGGGGGGTCGTAAACCGAAATAATGAAGAAGAGAGACATTTTGTTTCGAATTTGGTAGAAAGAAACCAACTAAATATTTCAAGAGCCGCCGTAATGAGCGTGAATACGAGACGGTGTTCCTTAATAAATAACGTCACGGAAGCAGCCCTTCAAGAGACGCATGCGGCTCTGGAGCAGCAGGTTGCCGACCCCTGGTTTTACCACTACCTCTGTCCATCTGTCTGTCCATCTGTCCGTCCCTCTGTCTGTTAAGGTTAGGGGAGCTCAGCAAAATTAGTTGCAAAGCCTAAGTTTAAGTGACGTTTTATCTTTACTCGGTCATTGGTGACCGAGTTCGGACCATGATCTCACTGCACTTGTGGGCTTGCTGTTTTACGTGAATATGTTATCATCCTCACCTAGCAGCGGCAGCCATTGGCAATCCACTGATAGATGAAGGCCTCGCCTGGGGAGGCTTCCCAAAGCTGCCACCACCAATAAACCTCCACAAGCTGATGTCATCGCTCTAGTTCTGCAGTTTGTTAAATGGTCGTGGGCCTCACCTAGGTTGACTTGGCCTTCAAATAAGTACCTGGTGCGGTGTAAAAAAAAACGTCAGCGCTGGGGAGACGAAGGCAGCCAGGCGTGGTGCTGGCCACCAACCCCCTCTTCTGCCGTGCCGGCCTTCATAGGTGCTCGCTAACAGCACTTTCCCCTAACAGTCTGTTGCGGGCGATACGGCAAGGTTATGTTAAACTTCTACTCAGCCCTCAGGAACTGCTGAGCCCCCGAGCAACGTGGTGACCACCTCTGTGACAACGACGGTGACGACCTTGTCCCTCTTGCTGTGTCCCGGCTCGTAGGGGAGCGACCTCTTCATCACGCAGGACGGCCTCAGTAACTCGGCGTGTGCGGGCCTCTTCCTCGCCATCTTCTACTCCTCCATGACTGGAGCAGCTTGGTGGACGATAACAGGTGACAGCCACGGCAATCTGGAGCCACTGCACTCATCGAGGCCTGTAAACTGAGGCCTGTAAACTGAGGCCTGTAAACTGAGGCCTGTAAACTGAGGCCTGTAAACTGAGGCCTGTAAACTGAGGCCTGTAAACTTAGGCCTGTATACTGAGGCCTATACACCGAAGCCTGTAAACTGAGGCCTGTAAACTGAGGCCTGTAAACCGATGCCTATAAACCGAGGCCTCCCACGGCCGAGCATCCCAGCCTGGGTGAGGCTTAACTCATTCGGGGCGGTGACGCTGCCTTTGCGGTTGGTGCGTTCACTGCTTGTCTGCAGAGGTTCATGGTTCGGATCCCGGCAGACTGCCCTGGTTAATACTGCAATGTGTTTTAACTGTAAAAATACTAAGCGCTGTCTAATCATTCCTGTGACGTCATTTTGAAAATACTAAGTCACTGTGTGCGCATAGTTGTGGTCCAAATGAAAGATTACCTGGGAATTACTGAATTGAAACTACACACAGCGACAACATCGCCCCCCTACAGCAAGACAACTGCACTTAACCCTTTGCGAGTTTCAGGGTGACGTTCGACGTTCCGATGACGTACGTTATTATTAACTCATCTTTAAGGGTGGAATGTGAGGCTGCGTGGCCCAGCAGTTGAGTGAGCGGACTCGCCCGTTGGAAGGTCGCGCCCGCTGAAGAAGCACCCAGTACGGTGGAAGCGAAACGTCGGACATCGTGCCGAACAAACAACCCGAAAGCCCATCGAGTGGGTGCAATCTGGTGAACTCGGTGTCGCCGATGCGGTACCTAGCCATGTGGGTAGTATCGTTGACCTTACGTCTCACGGGCGTAGTGATGCTCCACGGTGAGGAGGCGGCGGTGAGACGCGCCGAGTGGCGCGGTGACGCGCGGCAACGTCAACCGCCTAACAACCCAAATGGCTCCCGCTGCAGGCCTCTCCTGGTTCCTGTCGGCGGGCCTCAAGTGGGGCCCCGAGGCCGTGGCTCAGCGAGCCGCGCTCTTCCACGCGGCGGCCTGGGCCCTGCCAGGCGCTGCAGGCCGCAGGAGTGCTGGCAGCGCGCGCCGTGCGGGCCGATGCCCTCACCGGCACCTGCCGGGTCCGCACGGACAGCCTCGGGGTCCTCGCCGGCCTGGTGTTGGCACCGCTGGCCCTGTACCTCATTGCGGGCGCCGTCTTCATGGGTACGGTAAACGCTTTGTGTGTATACCTTTGGGGGGTGGAGTCCCGGTGGCTACGTCCACATGGCCCAGCGTGGTGAAGTATGGTAAAAAAAAACACATGACGGGATTGCGGTGGATAGAAAGCCTTCGTGCAGCAGTGGGTTTGCAAAGGCCGGTAACATTGTGAGTCGTATATTAGATGAAGTATCAATAGATGAGGCTTTTATGAATCGATTTATTTGCTGACTAGATAAACAAAGGTAAAGGTGCAGCCCTACAACTGTTTGCTCACGCCACTGCCTACTCTTCCACGCCGAGCGGATGTCTTTGGAGCGGTGGTAAGACCCACGCCTATACATTCACAATCAGAATCTTTATTGACACTGCAGGAGGAGGAATCCGATGAGCTGTGAAGCTCTTTTCATAGATGCTCAGAAGGAGCACGGGCTCAGAAAGTTACAACAACACGATCGTAGTGCAAAGTATGGGAAAGCTAAGCGAGTCACCAAATATGAATAAAAAGTATGTAGGTACAAATTACACAAATACATCAATTCTGCACCTCCGGTCAGCACTGTAGGCTATGTATGTTGCGGTTCAACATACATGCATGCAATTAGTGTCGATTTTTCATAATGGCTATGTCAAGGTCAATGAGTCAGTACCTCTGTAGCTCCGTTCCACTGGCACATCCAAACCACGCTCGTGCGGCGTGGGTGGCTCTCCGTTGGCCATCTGGCAAGCCGAGCCAGAGAACAACCGAACCGTGAAACTCCAGCCTCACAAGAGGCCAGAAGCCTCGCACGTCCTGAGCAGGCGCGCCGGTTGGCTCTTTACCGCCCCCGGAGCAGCTCGCTTGCGCGGTGTGAAAATCTGCGTTCGGTACCGGATCAAGCTTTGGGGGGTTGGGTGTCTCTCACAGGTGATTCATAATGGCCTTGGCAGAGATGTTGAACCAGAGCAGCTGAGAGTCCTGGTTTTGAATTGGGTGCCGTGGTGGCGAAATGGTAACTACCTCGTCTGGTATACGGGAGGTCGTGGGTTCGATCCCGACCCTGACTCCCGTTGTATATTTGGAGGTTGTTTGTCTCTCTAACCGTGGTCGAGTGGATTTTTCTCCGGGTCCTCAGTTTTTTTCCCTCCACAATTAGAATCAACATCACGCGTTTAGAGTATTTGGCTGCTATACATTTGCACGTGATTAAGCCACTTTGTTGAGCCACCAATTGTGGCCAGGTTACTTCTTAAAAAGAGCTACATAGCTTCAGTGGGCCTTACCTGGATGGTAAAATAAATAAATAAAGTATTAATTAATCCAGGCCGCAACCACCCGTGGCTTAGCCACCAGGCTTTCGGTTGTTGTGAGCGTTATGGTCTCAGCTTGGCCACCAACGACCACACAAAGCAAACCGGAGAATTTATTCTATTCAGTTTCGGCCAAGCTCGGTGTGCACGCACAGTTGACACGAGGTGAACCGGTCCTCTTGTTGTTTCCAACGGTACTCCGAGATTCATTGCACTTGAGCGCCATAAAAAACACAAGCCCCTAATGCTGTTAATTGTTGGGTGAGTCTAGGCCACTGAGCAGGCAGTGGAGTAAAATCACTTTGCTCGCTTCTGATACGCACGCAACGATTGGTACGGCATGAGAATGAATTATTGACAATCGAGTCAATGATTTCAAAGTGCGAGTTGCGTTTCCTCCAGGTGAATAGAGCGGGCTAGAGAGACTACCAACGGGGCAGTAGAAACGAGACGGGGGAGTTCAAGGTGAGGCCTGCGAGACTGGATAGGGAACACACCGGGCACATGAGATGGAGAACACAAACTGGGCGGACGAAAGTTAATCGAACTCTTGCATCGAATCGGGGCCCTAGATTGTGACGATTCGCGGGATGGCAGGGAGAGGCAGTGGGAGGAGTCGCAGCGTGATGCACACCTCGGGGCCCGGAGACTCCCTAACTAAGCCAGAGGTGGGGGGGGGGGAACCTTCGTCCTTGGCTCAAGAAGCAGTACCGCATACGCCTCCTTCCCAAAAGAATGTCTCTCAGCGCACAGAATACAGTAAAACCTTGGATTGCGAGTAACTTGGTCTGCGAGTGTTTTGCAAGATGAGCAATTTTTTTAAATAAATATTAATTTGATAAACGAGCGAGGTTTTGCAATACGAGTAGTACATGTATACGCTTTGTCTGCCGAGCGTCACGTGATCACAACTGATATACGAGTGCTTTGGATTACAAACACGTTTCCGGAACGAATTATGCTCGCAATCCAAAGTTTTACTGTACATACGAAAGTAATTTTGACACATCCCATCAGCCCCACACGGCCTTGTGGGAGTGCATCATTTGACGTAAAAAAATTTTTTTAAATTGATCTGGCTCAGCACAGTTCTTAGAACGTCGTCATTAAGAATAGTCGGTGAAGTGAAGTGTACTGTATTTAATCGGGTGACAACTCCCGTCGAAAAATAAATCTCTTTTCGCAACGATGGCCACTGGACAGCATCATGAGATGCAGCAGTAGATGATGTCAGGGTCCGAGAGGTCCACAGGATTTGTCCTGAGGTGTCATCATCATCATCATCATCTTCTGGAGTCACCGTCTGTGTTTCCAAGTTGCGGCTGGTTTCCTACAGTGCGAGTTTCTAGTAGCGAAACGTCGTACTCAGAAATAGTAAATGTTGTGGATTCACTCTTCAACACACCGGTGGGCTAAAGTAGTGAACTATTTATCTTTTGTCAACGTGACACTTTGTTACTGATTGGCCATGTCGTGTGGTGGAGGGTTACGACACATTTATAAATAACGCGATCTAACCCAAAAACTTTGATTATGGATAGTCACGTGATTGCATCCCGTCGGTTCGCCACCAACTGCCTAACGACGCCAACCGCCGTCCCACGCAGGCGCCAGCATCGTGTCGCTGACGCGCATCCGCGCCGAGCTGCGGCGCGACGGGCGCAAGCAGGAGAAGCACGAGCGCCTCACGGGCAAGCTGAGCGCCTTCGCCGTGCTCTCGGGCGCGCTGCAGGCCGCCTGGCTCGCCTGCCTCGCCCGCGACCTGCTGCTGCCCCCGGGCGACCTCCACTTCGGTGGCGCGGAGGGGGAGGAGGAGGACGAGGAGGAGCGGGAAGAGGTGGTGGCGGCCGTGGCGCTGGCGTGCCTGCGAATCGCGGCGTCGCTCTTGCCGGCCGTCGTCTCTGTGCTGTGGGTGTCGTCGGGCAAGACGGCGCGCGCGTGGGGACGCTGCCTGGCGGCCGCCGCCGCCATCCCGCAGGGCCGCGGCGGGAGGGGCCTAGCGGCGAGGGACGGGTGGGTGAAGCCCGGCGCGGGGGAGACCGCCGTGTGATGCCCGCCCGCCCGCCCGCTCGTCCGCTAGGACGGTCCCGCCAGAGCGAGAGGATGTGCCGCGACGAAGCGCGGGTGACGCGGCGACCCGCTCGGTCGCCCTTCAAGCTTTGCACTGATTCCGGACGGGAGGGGTGACTCTGTTTTCCGGACTCGAGGAATGGGCCGTCCCGAGGGTACGGCGAGTCACACCGGCCGCCCCGGACCCCGCGGCCCCGTATGGATGGCCCGTGCCTTGTTGCCTGGAACTGCTGCCAGCACATGTACAGAAGTCGACCGTAACTATTTATATTTTACCAGATGAGGCCCACTGAGGCACTTTTTCAGAAGCGACCTGGCCACGAATTACCGCTCAACGAAGTGGCTCATCACGTCGAAATTTAATCTCGGCCAAATACTCGAAACGCGTGACGTCGATTCTACACGCGGAGGGAAACACCGGAGGACCCGGAAGAAAAATCCACGCGACCACGGGGAGAGAGACACGCAAACTACCAAAATGCGATATTGGATATAAAAACTCCAATATCAATAATTCCGATGAAGTTTCAGCGACAGTTCCCCGATCTTCGCGGGAGTGGAAGGCGTGCTTTGTGCTGGGCGCTTCGTGCTCGGTGCTTGGTTATCAGTGCTCCGTGCTCAGCGTGTGTCGTGCTCATCGCGTATCATTCGCAGCGCTCGTAGCTCCGCAGGCGGAGGAGCTTCTGCGTCCATGGAGCGTTCCGCAAAAACCGCTCAACTCGGTGAACGTATCAACGCCGTCAATGAAATCTTCAATAGCGCTTGCAATGGTGAGATCTTTGGGCCGGTGCTGAGCAATGGCGATTTAAAATAGGAACGATAATAACAGATTCTTCCCCGCTGTAACCACAGCCGGAAAAGCTGCCCACCGATGATGCCACCGCAACAACGCGCACCAGCCGTGAGCGTGGATGCACTGTTAAGGTTTGCCCGCTCTGCCATCGATTGCCCAACCGAGCCGGTGATTCGAGACTTTTTTCGCCCCCAAGGCTTTTTCGGGCGTCCTTGAACTCGCGACCGCTGCGTCGAGAGCCGTCACGCGTGGCGCCGTTACGACGACCGTGGCTCCAGCTCTGTGAAGTGCCCCATTAGGCCCAGCGGGTCCACCCTTCACCCATGGCTGAGCTGCGTTAAATAAAAGCCGCCGCGTGGGGTTTTTCGCGCTCGCACTGCGCGAAACTCTGCGACCACGCGCTGTCAAGTTGTTGCCGCGCTCCGTTCGCCATGATGTCCCGACGTTTCGTTCCGCGTCCTGCTTGGCGGGAGCCTCTTCAGGAAGTGAACGGGGCAGGTCGCGTTATCCCTCGTGTCCAGCAGCGGCTGGCAATGGCCGTACCAGCACGTGGAGCGGAACGTCGGACGTCGTGCCAAACGACGCTCGGTACGGTCCGGAAAACCCCCCGGGGGATGGTGATGAAAGCGTCCGCAATGCCACACTGGGAATTCTCATCGTCGCGTCTCTGCGCAATTCGAAGTAAAACCGGCGAAAATAAATGTTCCAGCAAATAAACGTAACTGGAGTTGAAAGGTTTATGTTTTATTTTTTCACGCGTAGGTTAACTTCGTTTTACATTTTCTGCGTCGACTCAAACATGAATCAATTCGACCGTTTAACCCCGGCGAAACCTGGGTTCGTTATCCGGCCGAGCGCCATCGTCAGCGGTACATCAATATCCGAAACTTTTCGATTTAAAGCTTTCGTGACTGCAGGGATTCATCTTCTTGGTTCTTTCGGTAAAGTCACGTAGAAGGGAAATAATAAAATAATAAAAAATAAACATAATGAAATGCAATTCTCACGACGTTTCGGCTGCTTGCGTTGTGGCCGAAACGTCGTGAGAATTGTATTTTATTATGTTTTATTTTTATTATTTTATTATTTCCCTGCTACGTGACTTTACCGAAAGAACCAAGAAGATGAATCCGAAACTGTCTCGGCCTTCCCCTAGATGAACTTGGCCTCAAGTGAGTGCCTGGCGCACGGTGCGAGGCAAAGGGGCTCGGTGTGGCGCTGGCCTCATTGATATCCCGCCACGGTGGCGCCTGGAATGCAAGAGGTCGTGGGTTCGATCCAGGCCCCGACGCCCGTGTCTTTGCAGTTTGCGTGTCTCTCTCCCCTTGGTCGTGTAGATTTCTTGTCTTCCACATTTAGAATGAACTTGCGTTTTAAAGTATTGGGCTGCTATGAATTTCCACGTGATAAGCCACTTCGTTGAGTGATCATTTGTGGCCAGGTCGCCTCAGAATAAAAATTAACCCGTAAAAACAAAGTTTTTCACTATAAATCCTTTATATGCGTGGCGGCTAGAGTCCTCTCGTCCTTTGGCTTGAGATGGCTGCCACCTATGGGTCAGATGATTGCTTGCCACCATTAAGCAATTGGTAATTACATATAAAAAAAAATCCTAAACAGTGTAAAATTTTGGAAAAAAAAATTCACGAAAATTAATTGTCACACACAACGAGTCTGTGTGCAAAATGTCAGCTCGATTGGATCACGGGAAGTGGGTAAGAAAACGACCGAAAGATTTGCACGGTCGTAAGCGCGCAAGCAAGCGTGAACTTAATATAAAGGATTTAGAAAGAGCTACAAAGCTCAGTGGGCCTTACCTGGTAAGATTTAAAAGTTTCGTTTAGTTGACCTTAATAGGTGCTCCCTAATACCGCTTGCACCTTGTCTGTTGCTCCTGTGGCTGATAGGGCTAGGTCCCCATAGGGCTAGAAGCCTTCAGAACTGATTGAGTAGCTCCCATCATGCTTTTCGTGTTTAGTTTTTCTTCCACCACTCCTCTGATTAGCACAGTTGGCGACGTACGGTGCAAAAGAAATCCATCACACTGTAATACATACATCTCTGTATGCTGTGTGCGTGGTGTACCCGAGTTCTAAACAACGCGGCCAGACGTTGCGTCTCCCACGCGAAGACGACACAAGTTACGTGCAGGCCTGGTCCGTCCGTCCGGCCGGCCGGACCTGACTGGCCACGGCACGACGGGGGGCAATCGTTTCACTTCTGCAGTTTATCCCCCGGGGAGGGGCGGGTGGGGAGTAGGAGGTCGGAGGGGATATGGGGCTGGAGCTCGTTAGGGAGAAGCCCGGCCCTCTCTGTCGCTCCCAAAGCGTTTCCCTTGCGAAGAGGAAACCGCCTTGGGGAAATTGGAACGCGCGCTTTGACGAATCTCCCCCTCGCACCCCCCACGCACCCCTCCCCGTCCCCAACACGGCCCAACTGCCACCCCGGGGCCTTCGTTCCCCCTCTCCGGCGAGAGAGGTGGCTTGCCATGCCAGCGTACTGATAAAGAGACTGCAAATGTTATCATGTACAGCCCTTTGTCAATCAGCTGTTGGAGTGAAGGCCTACCCTGAGGCTTCGGAAACCAAAACAACAAGGAGAGCCAATTTTTTTTTACTTGGTAAAAAGAAAAAAGTCCTTCAAAATTTCAATAATCCGGCCACAATGCACTGTGTGGTGACTACGAGACGGTGGTAACGTCACGAAGCGGTCCTTCAAGAGCCGCATGCGGCTTCGGAGCCTCGTGGCCGACCCGCTCCATGCCCGTCGTTGGGTTGGTTACGTGAGCATACTTCGCTAGTGGGGATCAGGGGACTCAGGACAGGTAGGTATGCACGTTGAAATTCTCGGGGCGCCACGGTGGCGAGATGCTAACTACGTTGCCCAATATGCAGGAGGCCGTGGGTTCGGTCCCGACCCTGACGCCTGTATATTTGGAGTTTGCATGGTCTCCCCGTGGTTGCATGGATTTTTCTCCTGGTCCTCGGGTTTTTCCCTCCACATTTAGAAAGCATGCGTTTGCAGTATTTGGCTGCAATACATTTCCACATGATAAGCCACTTCATTCAGCCATTATTTTTGGCTAGGTCACGTCTGAAAAAAAAGAGCTTTTGGGTTCGGTGGGCCTTACCTGGTAAATTAAAAAATAGTTTAGTTCCTTTCGCAGCGTACGAAGCCAACCGCACTAATCGGTGGTACACATATCATCACTCGCCACCGAAGTTGGCCAACGCTCATCACTCGACCAACGCTTCGTTCCCCAACGGAGGTATTTAACGACGCGTACTGCCAAACATGGCTGGACGTGATTCTGTGAAACGATTAGCGAATAATTCGAACTGTACAAGAAGACATTTGTGCAAGCGTTTTGACCTTGTGTTCCTGCAGCTGGAATGCGTGACTCGCGGTGCAAAGGTCGCGAGTTAAAATCCCGGTCCAAAGTCGAGAAAAGTCAACGGTGGTTGTTCTTTTTTTGTAACGATTCGATGCCAGCAACTGGCGCCCCAGGGCGAACCACGCAATCGGCGCCCCCACTCCAAACCCCCAAGGACAGATCTCGGCTGAGGTTTTTTGGTAAAGTGGGAAACATTTGTCCCCTGTTTTACGTTTAAAGTTTTGTAAGCGTTTTATTTTCAAACGGAAGAGTAATTATTCGGTTTGTCCGTCCATCTGTCCAACCAATAAATTATCGGCAATGTTGAGAAATGAATTACAATTCATATTCCCTCTACACGCACAGGAATTTAAATAATTAATTCTTTGTTATTTTTTTTCAACATTTTTATTTTTATCTCTCGAATTTGATGGCCCCCGCTTAATTTGGCACCCTAGGCAACTACCTCGTTTGCCTATATGGACATGCCACCCCCTGCATGAAATGTGGAATTTCCAACACTTGTGCGAAACTTTTAAGCGGACCATAGCGCCGTCCCATGTTCCTTTGAGCCGTTAGCACCGTTTAAATGCGTATGAGTCTCAACGTAACGCTGTCTATAATTCGGGGCCCTTTGTGGAATGCATTGTATTGGAAGGCTTTGGTGCGCTGGTGATCGACAGACTCACCGCTGGTGTGTTACATGCCCTGGTTTAACTAGAGGATTTTTACAAAAGCAAAACGATCATGAGCGTCATTGTGCCGAATATAGGCACTTTTTTTCTACTTACCACGAGCCGTACGGCCTTCGGCGCAAGTGATTACTTCGTGTTATTTCTCACGTACAGTTGCGTCGAACCAGGACCGCTATCTAAGAGATAGAGGTCCTTGCCGACAATCATCTAGGCGCTCGCCAGCATTGGTTCAAACGAGCCCGGCTC